TCAAGATATTATCCCTAATACTTCTCGGTATTTTCTCTATTTTGTCGAGCTGACCAAGATCATGCGTCAAGCAGTTGATTCCTTGTACAGTCCAGAATTCGCGAGACGTCCTTGGCTTACTATCTATGCGGCCATGATAGACCTGGTGCACGAAACAGACGACTGGCTTTCCAGTCTAGCTGAAGCCTTTAGCTTCAAGGATCATCAAGGATCAGGCCATTTTAACAGGCGGAGGTGGAGCCTTGCCGTCAGACTTCATAGTGTGAGGATCACAATATGTCGTCCCTCCCTTTGTCGGTCGGGAAGGCACAGACAAGGCACCGAGCCTTCCAAGGATCTCCAACAAACTGCAGATATATGTATTGATTCAGCTTGCCAGATTCTGGACCTCCTGCCTGATAACCCTGACGGTATCTGGTTGGCCCAGGTGTCTCCATGGTGGTGTGTCCTACACTACCTCATGCAGTCAGCAACCATACTGCTGATAGAGCTGGGCTATTGTATCCGAACCGGTGCCGGCCAGGCCGCTTTTATCGAATCACGCATTGGAAAAGCACTAGACTGGCTTTCCGCTCTGGCGGCTGATGATCTCGCTGCTGAACGTGCTTTCAAAGTCTGCGATAATCTTCATCGTCGGCTCTTTCTCCGCTCTATGATCGAACAGGACAGAGTTCCTAGGTTCTCTGCGGCGCTGTCAACCAAACTTGTCCCTTCTGCCGATGTCCCAGGTTTAGTCTCCCAGGCTGAGCACAGTTCTACCCGTGTTTCCGTTGTGCCGCACGGAACGGGGAGTCGGCATTTATGGACTCAGAAATGAGGAACGAGACAATGTTTCATCCAGCTCTCCAGACAGCATACGACGAATTCATGCACTACTATTTGGACAAGGCATGGGACTGATCATATAAATCAGCCATGATCAAGTAGCATGCAGATCCAGAAGACTTTGGACAGTATAATAGTGAAATAAGCCATATTAATAGATATACTTACCACTTACTGCTGTGGCTAATATTGTTAATGATGGTGTTGTTGGTAGGATGGGATGGCATGACGCGTCTTACCGTTGTACAAAAAGGCAAACATGACAAAGACAGCAAATAAATAACTAGTGCAAACACGTGTTCTCCCCGCAAAGCCAATCAATTCTAATCCTTACCTCTCCGGCCTTGACCAGTGAAGCTGACCACATATGTTTGCATTCATGATTTCGTATGTTATTTTTATTTTTTCTCAACTTTTGTCTGAAGTATGGTGTATATAAGGGCCGAGTGGTCCTCTCTTGATATCATAGACAAGCTTTCAACTATATATAATACCCAATGTCCGCTCTATATTTCTGCAGCCACAGTCTGTTGTTTCGTGGCGGATAGGCATTTTCACCCGGATGAGAGTCTTCGGGAGTTTTCTACTAGTTCTACAGGATCAAAGATGGATGACCTGATATACACTCGAGTACGAGATTTCCAAAACGTATGTTCGATATATTAGTGATGAGAGTAGTCCAAGTTTAACTTAAAATGGTAAACACGCTGCGCGACAGCTCCGATGACAAGGCCCTGCAGCTGCTGGGTCTCATTCGCAGTCAAGCATCCCCTGCCGAATTACAGCCCTACATCGAAAATATCTCGACCGATGGGGATCGGCAGCAGCATCCTGTTTGGGCCGACATATACGACCGCACGCGGTCACCGTCCAACACCATATTCTTCCATCGCCCCTCCCTGCATCGCCCCTCCCTGCATCGCGCTCCGACTATCAAGCGACTGCCCAGTCCTCCCGTGACCCCGTCTATCACGTCCTCGCAGAGCCCTGGACGTCGGTCACCAAATACGAGGATTTTGTATCGTATTTGGTCACACTCTGGCTTACGTGGAGTCAGCCTTTTCATAATTGGATTGATCGCGACCTTTCCCTCCGCGATGCTCAGACAGGAGATCTCAGTTCTCAGTACTGTTCTCCGTTTCTGGGGAACTGCATTCTTACAGAAGCATGCGTAAGTGCCCCGGATGATGGACTGTTTGCAGTCACTAATCACCAATCCCCTAACATAGTTCTATTCGGATCACCCCGAAGCCTACGCGGACCCTACAGATTGCAATTCAAAAGGTCTTCATTTGTTCGAGGAGGCGAAACGATGGTACGATAGAGTGGACGGTCAGCATGACTTGCCTACTTTGCAAGGCTGCGGAGTATTTACCATTTGGTATGTTTTCCATCCACCAGCGGCAGCATCTATTGGACTAGTACACTAATTGACTATTCGCAGCAAAGCTGCACTGGGAAAAGGCCAAGCTGCATGGTGGCATTTAGGTCAGCTTCGCAGTTTGGCCGCGGATCTCACATAAACGTACCCACTACTAGCAACTTTAACACCAGAGGGCCGTGCTGCCAATAATGCTATCTGGGGCATATATAATCTCTCAGTGTGCGTCTCAATATACTTCAGCGGGCTACCTTCTGCCTGTCCTAACTCAAAGCGCGCAGAACTACCTCGATCACATGGATGAAGTATCTCGTAACTACTCAGCCAGATCGACCTCGTCTCCCATGCGATCACGGCCCTGATGAGACCTGGATTCTGTATCCACGCCAAGCCCAGTCCTGTTCAGTCACATATTGCTTGTGTGTTCAACAACCTCTGCAAGCTCAGCACCATCAATACAGATGCAAGTGCACTAGACTTTGGCAGTGGCCATATACCGCCCCCAGATATTCTTGCGCGCACTTTGCAGAAAATACGGGCAAGATTAGATCGATGGAGAGATAATTTGCCGGAGCGCCTTACTCCGGAAAATGTTACAGTACCGCATGCTCTTACTTTACAGTAAGTGGACCCTCATTTGCCCTCAGAACAGTGCCAAGATGTCTTAATCATGCAACACGCAGCATGGTTTACCACGCAAGTATCATGATTCTTTGGGTATCCCTCAAGGAGCCGAATGATGCTGCTAAGGCCGGCACCGAAGGCATGACGTTTGCAGCGAGAGAAGTCTGCCTGGACGCGGCGGGATCCGTTGTTCAGCTCCTCCGCATTTATCGCGCGAAGTGGGGGATTGACTACATGTGTCTTACCACCGTAAGTTGCCTGAGCACGGCGCTTTTCACTTTGCTAAGCGAGCTCGGTGACCTGGAGCATAAGAGCGCCTTCGCGGAGCTCTGCGTAGTCGCCCGTGCCTGTTCCCACAGGTGGCCCCTAATGAAAGGCCTCATGCGCATGTTGCAGCTTTCAGCGCGGAAAAACCATGTGAGTCTTCTCCCTGAAACCCACGCGCTGTTTGTTGACTTCGAAGCAACCATATAGGAGAGACATGATGACGAGCGCTTTAAGAGTATTTACCCCAACTTTGGCACTCTTGCCAGGAAGTGAGGTAATTGTGCATCTAATGAGGCGAAGAGATAGAAATTCTCGGATTAACAAGGGCTCCTGGGGTTAAACCTGGTAGATGAGAGCTCCTAGATTGTTTTACCAGCCGTTGCGTCACAGAAGACAAAGATGACGATAGCGAGATTAAAGCCTGTAATTGATAATATACAGAACCAACCAGTATCATTAATCACCAGAGGTCAGTCATTGAATAATAGTAGTCCACCTTCTCTCGAAAGACCGTCTCCGGGAAATCGAAATAGTTCGTCTGCGCATAATTGAGAAAGGTGTCTGTGAGAAAGTCAGCAACAGGATAGAATAGAAAGTACCTGATGGCGGAGACAACACACGAATTGATCAACTGCAAGCCGGTAGCCCAAAAGAATCCATCCAAGGGATCTAATCCCTATGCGATCTATCAGCGGTGACCATGGACAAATGCTAGATAAGCGCGGTATACATAAATTTATTCTTTAAAATACCCAGGCTCTGTAGATGTCGACGGATTATCTTAGAGAAATTCCAATGCAATTATTCCCCTGAATAGTCTGGTACAAGACCAGAGTTAACGGCTGATTTTTTGAACAGTGTCACTAGACATACGCATAGTATTTATTAACAATAGCTCCAATGAATAGCTCTCCGATGTCTGGTCCTTATTCTCTATCCCTCGCGTCTCTGAAAGGGTCCTGCGGTACTATCCGCTTTCCAACAAGTCCACAGTCTTCTCTAGCCGAGCGGGGTCGAGCAAGATATCATCACCCAGAAAGTGACGAATAATGCGCTCCATTTGAAATTTATTTTGCGACTGTGCTGCAAGCATACCGGACGGCTTCGGACGAATATTTTTAAAATGGCAAGTACAGTTGTATTGCTGGCAGCGCGCACAGGGCGGGCCGCCAGCATGGCCTAAAGCTCCGAGGCCTGATTAGTCGAAGGACGGAGAGGAAACGCGGGTATAACAATTTGTGACGGTGCAAGTACATCTTTCCTTGTCTTGGCGTCAAGACAGGCATCTCTCAGTCATCCAGGTAAGCGTCAGTAGCTGTTTTTGTAGCTTGAATGGGACAAGGGAGCATACGTGCGCGCGGCTCTCTTGCGAAGCGCATCAGGAACTCGCGGTCGCTTCTGGCGACCAGCTCGACGAAGAGGTGGGGTGTTAATCATAGGGGTAGCATAAGACACCGCCAGTTCCCATCATGAGAGAGCTGAGATATCGCAGGCCATTGGGTGAATGGAGAGAAAAGAAGCTGCGTGAGGGAACTTAAAGAATATGGAAATAATGAGCGGAAGCGGGGATTCCTGGCGAGAAGGCGTTGCGGTAAAGTCACATGCCCGTAACTCCCGGAACTGAAACCGCGCGAGAGGATCCATTCAACGAAGCTTTCTCGTCGGGTGTGGGCAGCTGCCACCTCTCGAATGGGGTGTGACCTTACAATATCTGGATATGAATATTGTTTTGGCAGGAGGAGACTGTATACCACCTCCCGAGCTATAGAAACTGTCTTATCACCATGGAACTACTTATTCTGGTCAATGTGTGACTCACTTTGAAAGCACGACTCTACTCACGAAACGGGTTTAGAAAGGCTCTTCCTTTGATCCTGTAAGCTTGTTCATGATGAACCAAGACATTGTGGCCAGGTGAAAAAAGCACGATGACGGCCCTCAAGGCAGCGCCACGTTTCTGGCAGCCCCAAGTACTGTAATTGACAACGCCATAAAATATACCACGATGCCTGCAACACAGCGCCAAGCGATCTACGGTGGCAGGAAGGGTTATGCGGTACAGCACAAGGCATAGGCGACTTATGCAAGCCCTCGCTTTCTGTTACATTGGCGCACTTGATTACGATTGCAAGATTCTCTCGGCTTCATATACTGGGACAATATTGCCTTATATTCCTAGCATTAGAAGCTCCGTCCCTTTAGAGCCAGACAAGTGCTACTATATTTCACGCACAGAAAATACTTTTCCTGGCGTAAATGTCTTGATCGAGCGTGGGCTTAACAGGTGGAAGGGAGTTACCCAGCTGACATCAGCCATGCGGGCAAGTAAGCCAACTAAAAGTGAGCTTACTCGGTGCTACCTTAGCTGACAGAGACTGAAAGGCTCCCCGCAGCCTACCGGCTATCAGTGTTATCTAGCCGACTTGAAATATAGCCTTATCCACGTATCTTTCTCGCGTATTTCTAGTTCTTCGGTATCCAACAATCTAAATGGGTGCATCTGACTTGAAATGTTAACTGGAAGGCGGAGTCACGGTGACAAAGTATAACATATGCCTACACCACGCCTGGGAGCTTGCACTCCCCGAAGAGGGAAGGAAGTCGAAATCATGGGGGCCCATGAGGCTTAGGGCGGGACGCCGTAAGACAACGCATATCTGGTTGAGCCTCTATAATTCCACCCGTGCGTTGCCAATCCTGTATTGAAGCGTGTGAACTGAGGCTCAATGAAAAGAAAAGGCAGCCTATCATGGATCGATATTACTAATTCAGAAATACGGTGGCATCGACAAGGCAGAATGGGAAGCATGGACTCCGGACGCTGCATGATCATAAAATTGCAGACCGCGAAGGCTGCCAAAGATTGAATATTTAAAAGCACAAGTAGGTTATGCTCAGTGCTCTATCTCTTGTTATATATTATCTCTCTTTCAAGAAGTCGGCTTAACTAAGCGTTCTAATACGGAGCTCATAAATTGGTGTCTCGGTAGGAAGAAGCATAAGGGGCCCCTTCCACCACCGTAAGCGAAAAAGTCCAGCTTGTATACCTCTATAAGCGCCATCGTTTCCCTCTACGTTGACGATATAATAGCCCACCAAATAACCTCGTCCGGTGAGGACTGTTGGAACACAACTCGTCACAAAAGTTTCCCTCCGGCCAACACAAGTCAACCCATCTCAGTGGAAGGTCCTGTATCATCACCATCAAGTCTTGTTCTGACGCCTCAGTCCAAAGTGCTGCAACCTCCTCAGGCCGGTCTGTTGCCACTATGTATGGCGGGACCGACTTCATGTTATAGCGTTACTGGCCCCTTATGCAAGATATGTGGAGTTCCAACTTTCTTCAAACATGTCAAACCGTGGAATCCAAACGGGAACAGTGGCCGGATTTATTAATCATGCGGAAGGTGCGGAAAATTCCGCAGCTGGACTGATTCTATTGGCATCTTTGACAAGAATCCACGTTGACTGTGCAATCAGCCAAGCAGTTGGGGAGAACGTGGCAGGGAAAGCAGGGTAAAGGATTTTTGAATTGTGCTACAGGCGACTGTGACTTTCTTCATGCGAGATTCTTCTCCCTTCTATGCCTGAGGTTCAGGATGAAGCGTAATCTAAGGTCTTAAATTATAACCTAGAAATTTGAGAATTACCATCAATATCCTTAGTAAAATGTCTGGCAGGTTTCCCAGCCTGTTCGGGCTATTCCGGGCAAAATAGCTCGTTTTTGAAATTAGTACCAAGCACTATCTCTCTATCAACGGGACGATGCTGGTGCAAAGCTCCGACGAGGCATACCCTTCAATAAGCCCACTGGGTCAACATCACCATTACTCACTCCGCTTTGGTGCTTGAAGCCCTACGTTGTCACCGTACCAACAGGTAAAGTAGAACATCAAATTGAAAGTTAAGCAGCTGCACATTATTCGACGTCCTTTCACGCATCACAATAACTTTCCTAGTAACCCCACCTTTCATACTGCTGCTGCCTTTGATACCCAGCACACTTGTCCAAGGTCGAAAGACAGATTTCCAGCATGAATTTGGGAACAGATGCCAAGAGTCTATCACTGAATATAGGATCCTTCCCACTCCTCAGAATCTTGAGGTTATCCGTCGTGAGCTGGACAACAAGATCTCTTATTGCACGGTCGTGCTCTCCTGTTGAGCTGTAAACTCCAATGACGGAGGAGCTGAATGACTCGCGGGCGGGATGTCCCAAGAAAGATTTCTGATATAATCCTTTGCTTTCTCCTTGAGCTCTTTGTTGATCTGAAAATAATCGCTTTGTGCGTACATTTGAGCGTGGAAGAAGGCATGACAACTTTGATAATTTGTGGTATTGATTTTTCGAGATGGGTTGCAATATTGTTCAGTGTTTGCATCTAACCCATAATCACTTTCTGTCAATGTTTGCGGTGAACATCTAGAACTATTCTTTGAGTTCAGGAGGGCTTGGGTATTTGGAGAACCGTCATAAGTATAGTCGCCCGTGTACAAGAATTCGAGTGTCTTTTTGATGAGCATAGGATTGCAATCCTCAATGATGATCTCGCCGTTGCTTTCCTATAAGTGTTTAGATCAATTTCAAGATTACACCTGAAAAGAACCAGAGTATCTCGCCTTGAAGTGACTACCACAAGCGATCTCAACATATTCTGATTGGGGACAGAGGATGTTCCGATGGGCTGGAAAGATTTCATCGCCACATTTGATAGTAAAATCGCTGTACATTGGATTGAGAAATTGGCTAATTTGTATATCAGTAATTGTAGGAGATAAGATCACTAAATCATAACATCTAACCTAAGGACCAGGTCTTCCATTTTTCTGATACATTTTTCTAATAATTTGTTCGTTTGCAGAAACCGGCTCCGTAGGTACAACAGCCGTATCAGCGGATGTAGATACTGCCAACTTTCTTTGCTTTTTTCCTATTTTTCCCATCAAGGACTCGTGAATCTATTCACACAGGAAAAGCTGTGTCCTATAGCAAACAAAAGAAAGGGTTATCATTGCCACTATTTACGAACAAGCGAATGCGAGCTGGTGTGTGCGAGTCAGGGATTGACTTGGTCATCAGCTTCTTGCTGCTACTATGCTTTGCCCGGGGGGTGGCATGTGTAGGTCTGGCATGATGTGGCCATGCATCAGCCATCGCCATCAGAATGTACCAATAGTAACGGCATAGTAAGATCAGAAAGGCCATGGAATAGTAACGGGTTGCTCTACAAATTCCAGACCCCGAATTCGCTCAGGATCCATACTATGGCTGCTCATTTGGGGCATGAAGCCTGTTGTAGCAGTCGGAACAAGAAGAGAGTGGGATTCTTAATGCTCTTTAATCAATAACAAGTTGGTTGCCAGCTGGGTTCCTTGCTAAAAAAGGCGATTTATCTCGTGGCTATTGCGAGTAATCTCGAGCGGCCGGCTACGTGTCACCCCTCCAATCGCCCAATTTTCTTTTCTAATTGGCCGCTCCATGCCGGCAGGTGCTACGTTGTGCTACGACGCAGTTGCTTTAGTATGTCACAAAATTTTTATGGATATACTGCACCTCCACGGGTAGTCTTGGGGTCGGGGAAGTATAGCTGCTGAGTCGCAGTAGGCTGTGCTGGTAGAGGCTTGACGAACTGGTTGCTGCCTATGCGGTGAAGATCACGGGGAACATCAGCGGACCGCCCTCGAGTCATGATGATGCCTCCCTATGATCTCCGGCTCGTGTTGGTAAGCTCCAAGGGTGTAAGACGGCGGCAGGCCAAAAGTCTCCGTAGTCGGACGGAGACTTCCGGGGGACGGCGCTGCTCACGGAATGTACATAAAAAGACATGAGGCATGCGGATGCTTTGAATGATTATCACAAACACCTATCTTAATATCAAGCAAACCAGTTTTCCTATCATTCTTTGCTTTTCCATAGACCTAACATGGAACAACAACAACTGACGGTGGCATTCTTTGGGGCGACGGGCGGCTGTGCCAACGCGTGTCTGGCGCTGGCCCTGCAAGCCGGCTATCATTGCTCCGCCTGTACATTTTTCTGTTCCGTCACAGGCATCCCAAACTGACTCTAATCATTAACAGTGGCTTGAACTCCCTCCAAGCTCCACAACCTGCTCCAGCAGCTCAATGTCCCCGAGTCTGCCATTGCAAAGTACCTAAAAGTTACTGAGGGTGATATCTACAAATCTCCAAGCCGTTCAAAAGACACTCTATCTCAATAGCCGCCCCGTTCACCTGATCGTCTCGGGCCTCGGCGGCAAGCCACGCTTTGAGTATGGCATCAAAGCCACCCTAGACAGCCCGACCATCTGCCAAGATGGTATCCAGACCCTCCTGTCCGCCGCTCAATCGTGTCCTCAGAAGCCCCGGATTGTAATTATCAGCAGTACCGGCCTCAGCAACACGCGCGATGTGCCAATCATGATGCTGCCCCTGTATCATTGGTTGCTCAAGGTACCACACAAGGACAAGAAGGTTATGGAAGACCTGGTGGAGGCCGAGATGCAGAAGCCGGCGGGGGAACACGCCATCGATGGTTATCTAATGGCGCGGCCCTCCTTGCTGACGAATGGCAAGGGCAGTGGTCTGTCGAAGATAAAGACCGGCACCGACAAGAACCCGGCAGTGGGCTATACCATCAGTCGTCGGGATGCGGGACTTTGGATATTTGAGAAGGTGATTCACCAGGCGTCGCTGGCGGATTGCCAGCATTGGAAGCAGAAGGTGACCTTGACGGTCTAGGCAGCCATGGCTATGGGAGATTTTTTGGCGTGTGTTTATCACTTGGATCGCTTGAGGCTGACATTCTGGAGTTTACTGCGGTTACTGTGGGATGTCAGAAGTTTGCGTTGCCCCATATTCTACGCTAACTGCTTTTGCTTCCGCCTTCCTAACTAAGTTTAGATTGAAGCTATTCTGCCTACCAAAATAACACGTACAGAGCCCTGGATCTCGAAGCAAGCAAGTAAGCAAGCAAGCACTCTATACAAAGATGCCACAACGCAAAGAGCTGACACCAGAGATCCGTGCTAGACTCTGTGAGTTAAAAGCAATTGGATGGACCTTTAGTATGATTCATAAACGTTTTCCTTCTATTCCTTATTCTACTATACAAACTACAATCAAGCGCGAGAGTACTTGAAAGCATCAACAATCTGCACCTCGATCCGGACGACCTAAAAGGATTACTCCTGAAAAACAACAGCAGTTATTAGACTTAGTTGAGCAAGGTCAGCATATAAAGATGCGTGAACTCTCTACTGCTGTACAAAGCAGTCCTTCAATCAGAACATTTCAACGTCTATTCCGTACTCTACACATGCAGAAATGGAAACAATGTGAGCGACCAGAAATTACTCCTCAACATGCAGAAAAGAGGTTAAGATAGGCTCAACAATATGCATAATATACTGCTGAAGACATCCTCCGTGTTTTCCGGTCAGATGAATGCTCAGTTGAGCGCGGCGCAGGAATTCGACGAATCTATACCTTTCTATCACCAAGCAACAAATTATTGAGCGTGAAATTCATGCTGTACGTTGTGAAAAAGATGTCAAGCAGATTTTTTGGGCTGCTTTTGGATATAATAGACGTACTGGTCTTTTAACTTTACAAGGAGATCCAGAATCTGCGCGTCAAGGCATTACTGCATGGATTATTCGTGGTGTTTATGAAGCATTTCTACCTGGGTTTCTACAGACTGGGGATATCTTCATGCATGACGGAGCATCTGTACACCAAGCTTATATTGTACGCGAATTGCTTCAAGATATGGGAGTAGAAGTCATGATTTAGCCACCACACTCACCCGATTTGAATCCTATTGAAAATTTATGGGCTTTAATGAAAGCTAAGATATATGAACTGCATCCAGAGCTGGAACCGGCTTTAGATAGTGAAGATACTCGACAGAGGCTTATACAAGCAGCAATTGAAGCCTGGCATGCAATTGATGAAAGCGTGCTTCGAAATCTATGCCAAACCATGCCTCATCGCGTACAGGCAGTCATCCAAGCGGATGGTTGGTATACAGCTTATTAAGTTCTAGATAGATTAATTAGGAAGGCGGAACGGTTAGCGCGCGGAATGAGGGATAACGCAAACTTCTGACATCCCACTGTATTGTCTTACCTAATTAATGTCTACACTATATAACGTAATCGGACAACAAACCGCCGGGACAACGAGCCGCCGGCGGTTGGCCGCTCCGCCCACCAAAATGCAACGAACGATTCAAAATGAAGCAATTCAACACTATACAAATGATAATATATAATATAAATCTAGGTGTTGACTCATCGGGGCATTTGAGGCGATTGTGGGCTTCTTTATTACAATTACTGCAGCGGGGTGGCCGGCGTTGAGTGCTTTGAGTAGCCTGCTTCTGTATAGCTTCAGCATTCTTTTCTTGAGTAATTTGATGTGCAGTATGGCCATCTCAAGTGCATCTTTCTTGTAAAAAGCGTTTTGAAGCCATTCTCTTGTTCATTTTATATTGGTTCACTTCACGGAGTTAATTCAACTCCTGCTGAAGCAGTACAGCATCCTGCATTGCCATTTCTGCACCTTTATACACCTTTTCAAGTGCTTGATCAGCAATAAGTGATGATGATCCTGCTTCTGCAGTGCTTCAATCTCTGCTTTTTGATGATTCATTTGATAAAGAGTCAAAGGCGTTTTTCCGAGATACATAGATTGATTAGATGACGAAATTGAAGGCGGAGGTGCTTAATGTTTTGGTATCTTGAGATTTTGAAGCACTTTTTCAGGATTGTATGGAGAAAGTCCTGTTGCAGCAAAACCTTGCTTTATATTTGCTGTATTGAAGTCTTTGAAGTGTATCTTTTTATAATGATATAAAAAGTCTTCTTTTTGTATATGGTGGATGACTTTATCAGCTGCATCTTTGATTCGACGGCCGTACAGAGTCTTTAGCGGTAACAGAGCTGTTGTTATTGTGGATCGACTTTCCTGATACATATAGCCCGAGACCGCACTGATCCGCGTAGGTTAGCAAGTAATATCGAAAAGGAAGATAAAACAGGACACAAAGTACCATGGTACACGCAATTCCCAGAATTAAAATATTGAAGATGGTCGTACAGATCATCCTCGGTGAGGATAGCCAATTGCCTTTATTCAAATAAAGCCAGAAGCTGGCTGGGAATCCATCTACTTACCGTCAACGTCTAACTAGATCAAAGTATCCAAGATGTGGGCGCACTTACAGCTGAACCAACTACCAAATAAGGCGCTCTACAGATCGTGTCAGCCATGCCATATCATAGAATATTGTGGATTGGGGTGTATGGCGTACGATCAAGCTCAATAATTCATTAAAAACCGGGACAGATTCCGCAAAAATCCAGGCAACGATCCAGGTACCCAAAGCGACACCTACCCACGCACCGACAGAAAGAACGCCATGGTTGTGCAAATGAGATGATCCACGGAAGATACGAACGTGAATATATTTACACGCCACGTGTCCCACAATGATGCCCGGAAATATGACCTATCCGTACCAGTTAGTGGGTAGAATATCGGATGAAAGTGAGGTGGGAGAGTCACTAACAGTGGGTATTGCAAGACCATACGCCACCTTCTTCATCAAAGGTCCTGCGGAGCCCAAGGCCGGAGAGGTAACGTCGGGTCCGGCGTAGCAGTATATAACGATAGAAGCGACGACGTACATGCAGGTATCGACAATCTGGAGCATGGCTAGAGACTTGGGGAAGTCCCGAACTTCTTTCATCTCGGAGATATGGCCGAAGAAGGCGACGTGGGCGACTGTTTGGTCAGTGCTGCTGATGGGGGTAATCCAGGTGTGGGATACATACTGTAAGCGAATACTATATTCATGACACCAAGGAAAGCCTTAGTAAATGATGGATGAGCGAAAATCTCAGTCTCGGAAGAAACTGGTTACTGGACACAAACGGCAAGCATTGTAACGATCGTTGCGACGGGGATGCTGACAAATGCTGGTTTATTTGAAATTTTCATCAATTGGGTCGATATTTGATCAAGACATACACATCATGGATATCCAATACACCTTGTCCATTGTTCTTGGTAGAGCTCCAAAGAAGCTGATGAGCAGGCCGACGACACTGAAGGCAATTGTGCCAAGTACCATGGTCCGTGAGTACGTTCATCAGCACCGAAAACGTTAAGAGATGGCTAGCCATGATGAATATCAGAAGAAATAGCTGGCCTAGGCCAAGCAGAAGATTGGTGATAGCCAAAATTTCGATAATGAATATATTCTGTCGAAGGATCTATTCTGGGGACCTCGCAAATATCGTACTCTGCGAAGCAGTGATCCGTTATCTGTGTGCTTAAAGGAGTAAAAAGGGTAGTGGTGCGAAGCTGTGTAAACCGAGGAAAACCATATGTTCGGGTACACAGGGAACTCTTGCCGTTAGTCGGTTATCTGCCTTGCTATAGTCGTGTCACATCCGAAAGCTTATCAGTGGACATAACAGAAACAAACTCGGGTGGAAAGGGGTGGGGTTATGACGGAAGGGCCTTCCGAGGGTGCTGTTAGCCACGTTTGCCATAACAAAGTCTGACAGCCTGCAAGTACACTGATTGATAATGCATGTCATGGATCTACCCAATGTATTCACCTCCATTGTAGGAACAGTTACTGTTATCATCTCAGACAGTTGTATCTATTACCTATTCTAGAGCCCCGGCATCTGCTGCCCAAGGCCGGACTCCTGCGCCAATTCTAGCAACAATCGCGAGCTAACTAGGTCCATTATACCCATTCCAACACACTTCAATATGATGTTTCCCTCCAGCTGACGGCCCGTACCTTCCTCTTTGTCCCCAAGATATTCTCCAATATCTGTCAACGACTCCCTGGTTATCGCAGCATCGATCAGCTCCCCTGATTCCTCCAGGCATCCCTCTGCAGTATCCACATATACGCACCCTCCACCGGAAAGGAGAGTTTGGGTGTCAATTTCTTTCATGTGAGGCTTATAAGATCCAATAAGAGAGATAAAGCGGCTTTTAGGAGACGACTGGAGGAACGAGAATGGGAATAGCGGTGCGGTTGACGGTGTGCAGCAAAATATAACATCCGAATGTTTCAGTGTTTCCCTCAGTAGTTCCTCGTAGTTGGGCGTATGTTCCTTGGCAATCAGCTGGAAGCGGACATTGGGCTGGGTCAACCGGATGGAAGATATCACAGTCTCCTCCAAGCGATCAAGTCTCTTACGGCCTCTGTTGATGATTGTTACCGTCTCAATTTCTCCATCAGTTAAGAGAAACGCCAGGCGAAGATGCCATTCGACCTGCTTTCCCGAACCGAAAACCACAATATTCCTTTTCGGGATATGCGAGACACTCGCAAAGAGAGTCATGACAGCCAACGCTGTGCGGAAAGCTGTAATCTGAGAGGCCCCAACAATTCCAGTTATCTCTCCTGTTGGGGTCAATAGCAGTATAACCCCTGCTGTTCCTCCCTGTGCTGGCAGAGCAATGACTTTGATCACATTCGTTCGTGTATCGGACGAGGGCATGAAGAGTGCGGTGTCATTTCTGTTATTGACGATTTGAGTTCTTGGGGGCTGATGTAGGAGTATTCTATTACTAAATTTTTTCTCGCTTGAGTACAAGATCAAAGTGGCTTTCAGGACGTTGAGAAAGCGACGGGCGTGCTGGGGAGTGAGATCTCGGAGGATCCGAGAAACTTCCTCTTCGCGAACAATCAACATAGTAAAGACGAAGCTCGAGTACGACTGAAATGTGGAATGAGATTAGGGGTAACGCAAGACATAAGTAGGCGTAGTCGGCAGCTTAAACGGTGCTTTCTGCCTGATCTAGTCATAATATTCCTAGGTCACAGCTGGCACGGAGGGTCTTGGCGTGCGGATAGCCCTTCCGCGTCATACCCACCAAGCCAATATCAGCCTGTTCTTCTGGCTCACCTTCAGCGTTTCACTGAATACAAGTCTAAACAAGCGTACATACGCTGTGTGGAAGCGTGCTCATAACGGAAGTCCCTTCCGTTAATTCTACGACAAGAATATTATCAAGAATAGTATCATATCGCGAACAACAGCTTACTAAATCACGACAATTGCTGAACAAAAGCCCCCAGTGAACCAACCCAGCCATCATTTACTCTCCTCCCTGCTTCCCTCATTGCCGATTCCCCCTACAACCCACAATGGATATCGCACAATCCTTTGAACATGCGCCCTCCAATCCAATCAAATGCATCGACATGCACACCACTGGCGAGCCCACCCGCATAATATACTCAGGCTTTCCTCTCTTGGCGGCAAAACCTTACTCGACAAACGCGACCAAGCACAAACCGAATACGACCACATCCGCAAGCGCCTCATGCTCGAGCCCCGCGGCCACGATGACATGTACGGAGCGATCATCGTCCCCGAAACGGAGCTCGTCGAGTCCGGCCACGCGCACATCGGAGTTCTGTTCACTCATAACGGAGGGTTTTCGACCATGTGCGGACATGCTACTATCGCGCTGGAACGGTCCCTTGTGGACACGCATGATCTGAGTGTGTTTCCGAGGCGGGGCGACTTGGTATTTGATGATGTTGAGAAGACGGTGGCGCTAAATATCCATGCGCCGTGTGGGCTTGCTCGGGTGACAGTGCCTGCGACGGAGGATGGGAGGAAATCGGATCCTTCTCGGCCAGTGGCGTTTCTGTCTACACCGGCGTATGCGGCGGGCATCGATCTCGATATTGAGATTCCGGCGGAAATTAGGTGGCCGGAACTGGGTGAGCGGGAAACTATCAAGGTGGATATTTCATATGGAGGGACGTTCTATGTTCTTGTAAACGCGGAGGAGTTGGGATTTGAGAAAGGGCTAGAAAGTGTGGACCTGATATCTGTGGCGCATGCAGTAGGAAAGTTGAAGCCGTACTTGTCGAGGCATCGTGATGTGGTTGAAGCGTTACAGAATGCCGAGGACAGGAGGCTGTCGTTCTTGTATTCCGTCATGGTTACTGATCAGGCTGTGGGATCGAGGCCTGATGGTGTTGATGGCGCAGAGACGGGATTGTGTTTATTTGCGGACAACCAGATTGATAGGTCGCCCACTGGGTCGTGTGTCACGGCGCGGATGGCGTTGGCGCACGCGAAGGGGGTGAGGCCGGTAGATCAGCGCTGGGCGTACAATTCTCTGGTTTCCAACTTTTTCGACAACGGCGCTTTTGTGGCTACTATTGTCGATAAAGACGCTACGGTGAGGAAGCATGATGGCGGTGTTCAGTCGGCTGTTGTGGTGCGCGTTGAGGGGTTCGCTTATTATACTGGATCATGCAATTTCATTGTCGAGGGGGGTGATCTTACAAGTGAGGCTGCGTTTCGTATGAAAACTGTTGCGAAGGGGAAGTCTGCATGAATGAATCATACCCATATATTGCTATACTCGAATTCGAAATCATCACCCCATGCACTGTCACCGATTGTATCTAACTGTTCAGCCAGATTGAGTATCTCCATATGTGTCATGCCCTGCGCATCCACTTCAGTGCTCAGCTGATCCGCATACCCGGGGCGGAGTGTTTCTTCCTGTCCCCACTGGACTGCTTCACCTCTAATGTTATTTCTTCCATCTTCTTTACCTGCCCCCTCAGAGTGTGCAATGTGCTGTGTCATTTGCAGCAAGAGATCTAACTCCAGTCTCCGTGAATGGGCCGCTAGATTCCCTTTCGAGACAAGTTTATCTAGTATTTTTGAGGCTGCAGTCACGTAGGTTGGCATGTCTGGAACCAATAATGGGTCGATAAAAGAGGCGACGATAATAATGAACGCGGAGGAGAATATGTTGTCAAGATTGAGAGGAAGAAGAGATTCTAAATGTCATGGAGCGATGCCAGTATTAGCACTTGTACATGAAATGAGCGAGAAGGTTGCGTTCAACTAACCCAAGAGAGATTGTTCATGAAGTAACGTTGATGTTCTCAAAGAGAAATTGGCAGACTGCAGAGAGGTTTCCAAAAGCGGTTTCAACTGTGGCGAAACTAAAGGTCTATTTCGTTCACAGTGAGAGCCGCGTTTCTTCAATCTGCCAACCAGAAAATAGAAGAACAGGGGCCTCGTTGCTAATACAATACACTTTTGTTTCAATCGTTAGCAAATACTGTCGTGCGCTGATTCCAGTGGGTTGCTTGCTAATACCTGATGATAGGTCAAAGCGAGGTTGCTAGTCACTGCCGAAACGGTACGAAGGGACTGATGAGCATTCATAGCAGAAATGTCTTCTATGTCACGAAGGATTCCCGCCATATCACGCAATACTGACTGGATCGTGCTTATAAATGATCGTCTGCGTCCGATATCTGCGGTGTAGACGGCTGCTGAATATTAGCGCACTGATTTTGGGTGGCGTGGTCAAGACGTACAGCCCAACACATCACCGACCACACGCGACAGTTTAACATGAGCCGTTAATACTTTAGCACTCTCGGAGTTGTCGTACAATATAGGTAGAGAACTCGTAATCTCGGCATCCTGTATCGAAGTGGGAGCACCAACCATTGCCGAAAGCTGGCGATCCAAGATGTATGCCGTCCACCATATGTTCCGACATTGATTACCAAATTGGCTGCCGAATATTTCCACTGGCGGCTCCCTATGCAGTCCTTCAATGATGCACATTCGTATCGCCTGGCCTATCTACATTGCCGAAAAGTCAAAGTCAATTCAAGTTTGTCGTAAGAAAGCGCGTCTCCGGTCGCAATATGAACAGGCCACGTACGTAGGAATATGCGGCACCTTTCATGTCCACCAATACCAGGTATAAACAAGTCAAAATTAGGACCTGCATTGCGAGGTTCGGATGCCGTTGTAAGGGAACAAATTCAGGCATCAGAGACATAGCGCGCTCGAAGAATGGAGAACCAGGAGGTGTGCCTGGGCTTTTAGAGACGGCTAGAAGGCCCTTGGCTAGTGCAACAATAAGTAGGTACTGTACGAACCAGAGAAGGTTCCGTTTAGCCGTCTCTATCCCCTTTTCATAGAACTCATGAAGACGAGGCATGAATTCCTGCTCGTCCACAAGGAATAGCATCTCACATGAATGATGTTTGACAACAGTAAGGAGATAAAGCATGTCATTAAGAGAGGGAAGTCCTTCAAACATTGAACTGTCGTCGAGGGTGGTCCGGGTCCATCTCAGCTCCCAAATGCTACCATCCACATGAAATGGTAGCTCAGGGGACAGGAAGTTGGGCTCATGTGCCTTGAGCATAAGAAACACACGCTGCGAGAATGACCAGGTCGATGACGGGCCGCAAAACCCTGTTCGAGTCAATATTTTCTATATATTACTTGTCCGAGCCGGTAAAAAGAACACAGTGACAACACGTACTATAATGTCCAATGGTGTCTCTCAGGTAGAATGAAGTTGAAGACACCAAAGGGTTCATTATAGGGCCTTCTCCGACCACTTCATTCAGCCTTATATTAGGTGATGCCACTGCATATATACCTTAGTTGCAAACAAACAGCAGTAGTCAAGGTTCACTTACCTTCCCTTGTAGTTGGTGACGAACGATTATCCGTGCACGAGGTTTCACGCTCTTTGTGAGCTGCCTCTGTCCTGGTATAGCATTCCTGTAGGTGGCGCAGATATCTTCCCTCTGGCATCAGAATATACTCGTTTCAGCCAGAAGGGGAGGCATGACTACTGCCAGTGATACCTTTCAGATACGATTACTTTCTTCTCCGCTTTTTGAAAAATGCATGTCGCCCCACGAGAAGTACAAGTCTCGCAAGGGCTATTTCCTGAACATTTGACCTTCCTTTTCTTGCATCGTTCACACCTACAGGTTCGTTAGCCAGCCCCGCAAGAGTTGCTGTCTTACATACGCATTGGTCACCCTATCTAGCTTTTGCCTTCGGTGTACTCGAGACGCCATTCTGGCTTTTGTCAAGTAGGTTGAATCGGGATTTGCTATCCCCACTTGGTCCGCACGTTCAATGCGAGAAGGGGTGTACTAATGAGCGGATGCGAGGGTCCGATGAATAAAGAATGGCTGGGGTGGAGTGCTCGGAAGGCTCTTCCGTCTGGGTGACTATTCACGGATCCTCCGCTCGGGTGACTGTACCCACGTTATCGGGGTGGCGTATCAGAGGGTAAAAAAAAAAAAAAATTATTGGACTCGCCGGGAACCGGACCCGGGGCCTCGCCAATGCGAATGGAGCGTCATACCCCTAAACCACAAGTCCTTTTAAGGAGTAGCTATTCTTACCTTTCTTTTGACTGTTATGGCCACCAGCTCGATGAAGCCCCATCGTTATCATATGCCTGCTTCATCATAATCCTATCCAGATTCAGCGGCATTGCAATTCTCTAATCTGTTAATCTTGTTACTAATTAATATAATGTAAGGGCATGGTATGCGAACGAGTCTAAATGTAATGCCCGCCGGTAAATTCCGATCTGCTGAAGATGCCTACCTACTCAGTATCGGTGACATCCTAGAAAGGCCAGGTAACCATGTAGAACGCCTTTACAACTATAATATGGCCTTATATTATTATCGCATAATTGGCTTGGTACTAGTGACAAGATCATCTAGCCAGGTGCTTCGTTCAGCTGGGCTAGACTCTCTCCTTTCAACTCTTGTTACAGTAAATTATCTATCCCTGGACACATAACCGCACGGACTTCCAGGAGACTTAAGTTTACTTTGCTTTAGCTGATTCGTATGTCATATATGTGCTCCACAGTGGAGTGTCTGGAAATTTCCGTAGAAGGGTCTGTAGAATTACTGGCTTGCTCCCACAGCTGATTCGAGTTCAAGCGATGCTTCTGTACTGTAGAGCGGCATACGTAGCAGTCGGACACAGTTCCATTTTCAGAAAAACCGACCTTTGTCAGCATGCTGTAGTGTAGAGAGCTGAGGTGAATTGAAAAATTGATTTCCCATAAGCCACCGTGGTAAAAGGGCCACCAAAAACTGACCCTGATTGACAGAAGCAGAAGCTCGCTAAATACCCAGTTAATGCTCCTATAGATTATCTTTGGCACACATATTTATGATGCCTGAGCATCGGATTGAAAGGGCGGATAGGACCCAGCGTTTTTCGGACTTGACCTCATGGTTTCACTGGTAGATACGCGGGTGTCTGCCATATACTTGACCCTTTCACCATCTCCAACTACAATAGGAGGGGCACAGAGGCCGACCATCAATAATGAAAGTATGTAGCATCTAGCTGTACCGGTGGCCCAAGGTCGACGCCGTGAATATGCTTATAAGCCAACATCTTCCATCTCCCATCGGCCAGATCCAACTTCCAATCCCCCAGAGACAATGCCTTCAGCCTTCTCAGACCTGTATGAACAGGCTACCTAAATCCAATCCGTTGACTGGTACGGGATATGGCTTGCTACCTTGCTGGGCGTCTGGCTTCTCACACGGTCGGCGCACTAGCTTCGTCGGTGGACTATATAAAGCCCGGTCGCGGTCTCCCTTGGGCGGCGCATCGGCTATGAGTTGCCGTGGCTCGCCCAGACCATTGACATATCCACCGCATTCGAGGCCATTTGGGTTGGGATGCTTCTGGGCGCCAACAATTTTGTCTTGTTCGTATCGGCCCATGGCTGGGCTGATGTCCAGCAACGTGCGGCGAAGCTCGCCATCCTGAACCTATCGCCGCTTAGTACGGGCCTAACCTTTGGCCTTCTACCCTATCTGCTCGGGGTCAGCCACTCTGCCGTTGCGTGGTCGCATCGCTGGTTTGGGCGGGTAATGGCCGCCCATTCCCTGCTTCATGGAGCCATTGCCATCGCCAGAGCGGATAACCCGATTCCCTCGATGAGGCATGACTGGGTTCCCGTACTGGTCAGTCACCACACCGCCCCTCGATGATGATGATGACTGTGACCCGAAAGCCATACTACTAACCAGAGCTAGGCAGCTGCTGCCATTTTGATGATGATCCCCGTGACCTTGCATGCGGTCGTCCGACGGCACTGTCAGGTCGCCATGAGAATCCACTACCTTCTGGCGGTCACGGCAATGGTGGCCCTGGCATATCATACGTGGGACCAAGGGTCAGAATCCCGCTGGCAAGTGGTTGGTGCTGGGGCCCTATAGATCGTGCTGAGTGTCATTGTCGTCTCTCATGCAGTTTTCGTCCAACAATGCTGGAGTACTGGACGGCCCACCGTAACCATACGTCCCTTTCATGAGCTGCTTCGCATTGACATTACAGTGTCCCCCATTTGCACATCCGGCCGGGGCAGTACGTATACGTCTGGTTGCCTCACGCAGTATTTCGCTCGTGCCTCCAACTCCGGCCCTTCTATGTCGCCTACTGGGATGACCCGCCCGGACCGCGCATCCTGTACGTTCTGACCCGACCACGAGCCTCCAGCCTCAGTACACGACTCTACCTCCGCGAATGGCTACAACAGTGTCGACAGCCCGCACTGTTGCTGGGGCCGTACGGCCGATCGATCGACTTCTCTCTGTTTGGGACGATTGTGTTCATCGTAGAGGACATTGGCGCGAGTGCTTCTTGTCCAGGAGAGCGAGCAGGGGCGGGCCATAGTACGCAAGTTGAAAAACGTGTGGCAGATGCAAGACTTTGGTATGACCGTCTCTCCATGCACTGTCCGAACCCGCAGAGATCTTAACGAGTCCTAGACCACCAATGCTGGCTGGGGGACTGGATGCAGGACCTCTTGGACCTCGGCCGCGGTGAATTCAAGGTATGTGATAAACCCTCTGCGGCCATTAATAATGCTGTCCTGACTCCGTTAGATTCCTGAGTTTCGTCTGTTATATTGCCTTACAAAGGGGACATCCGTTAACCCCGGTGACGCGTTCGGAGAGCAAATCAATCTGTCTCAAGGGCCACTGGTGGCCAGAGAAATCGACCAAGGTCACCTTGCAAGCGCCGTGGGAGGCTAGCTGTCGGTGGTAGGTTTGATTTCCACCCGATGGATTCACCCATCAACCACAACGGTTGTGTGATGAGGGAGCTTCTGACAGACCGTGTTGGACGTGCGCCCGATGACTAATCTTGATTCACCGTAGTGTGCGCCCGTCAGTCCATTCGCCAACAGGTCCAGGATGTCGTCCAGCCTCAGACGGGGCCAGATATCAAACTCTTCGACCTCGAGCCAGATCATGTCAAGGAGGCTCCTTGTCGCAACAAGGACACCGCCACCGCTCCGGCCTCAAGTGATTTGTAGAAGTGGGGTGCCTCTCGCATTCTCGAAGCTTATCGACATTGAAGTGAGTTCCAGTATGCCTATGACATGACGACTCTCTTTGCGCGCAGCCAATCCCATGTGGCAATGGCATCATCGCTGCTTCTCGCCTTCTCTCTACAGTCTGATTCCTACGCGCTCAACACAGACCGTCACGGATAAAGTAACCTCGTTCATTGCTTGGTGAACGGTTCAATCCATTGCGGGGCTCAACCCTTTTCCTCGGTAAGCCTTTGATGCTTGTTGTAATTCAAAGGGAGCTTGATTGTTATCATTCAGAGGAAAACATGAGGCTATATATACAACGAGAAGATCAACTTGATTGGAAATAAGTTGATTCTTCATATACATACTTCGGGATTAATTCCGATGGTTCGGCTTGGTTCCTGATCTGCACCAGCCTCATATTACAACAATGCTGGCACATCTGTTGTGCCGCCGCGCACAGTTTCCCCAAGGATACCCTGTGAAGTCCTGCCAATACTTACCGTGACAGCTTGGAGAGCTATAACCGCTACAGTGCTCACATAGAAACCGCTTGACACTGCTCTGTTTCGGTAAGCTGTTGCATGTGAGATTGCACGAGCAGTCCTCAGCTGTTATTAAGCAGCCTTGGATCATGCGATGGCGAATGCGCAAGGGCACCCAACTGGAGCCGTGTCCGCTCGCTGTCGGTACACGCTACGCTGGAGCCTAGAGAGCATATCCGATTTTTTTCCCTGTGTTTGATTGCCTCGAAGCCTCCATGCATCCACTGATATTCTCACAACGGCCAGACCACCCGTTAGTTGAAGGTGCGGTCCAGTGCCAACGACACCGCCGTCGGAGCAGCCCTCTCAATTTCGAATTCTGTCGCTTGCTATTTGTGCCTTTGATCGCCGAGTAGGCTCAGAACTTCGAGGTCTCTTGAACCCATGTATAGCAACACAAGGCGCAATTCGCCGCAATTCCACGAGCCAGGTAGCCCAAAGATGGACACTCAATGTGGAGTGCGCATGGACAAGGGAGAAATGGATAGCTTAGACACCAACAGAGCAATAGTCACCAATAAGTTGAGCTGTCGGCGACTCCGACGCTGGATGATATAGAAAAGAGGGGACGCAGACGGTGCTATACCGGAAAAAGGCATTGGTTGGATAATGCGGCATCGTGGGAGGGAGGTAATAAGCCGGGAGCGAGGCAGGCAGAACGAGAAAAAGGATGAGAAAGTGCGTCGCCTTTCGAGGAAGGACAGACAGGGTTATATAGGTCGAGTGAGAGGTTTGAGGCGGCCGAGGTTTGAGGCGGCCGGTGATGGGCGTAAAAGCGGCGAGAACACGGGCGCGATTCTTGTAGCGGACACGCTAGGCCGTAAGGGGCAGTGAGACTTCGGCATGGGGCAGGCGGTGAAAAGCGGCAGACGGACGGTTCAATGAGGGCCGTTTTCAGCGCCCCGCTAACCGTGTCATCGAATACGAATACTCCCAATAATAATATACTCCCTTCAGGGTAGACCGGAAGTAGGCATCACGTGACGCGTGGCCGTTCCGGGCGTCGTTGTAGCAATCCGTAGTTTTCCCGGATAAGAGTTAGCATTTGCCCGAGCGCTGCCCCTATCGGCGCTTTCTGCCTGGCGATTCCGCCTTACCAGTGAATTAACTAGCAGGGGTCCGTACATTTAGTTTTCAAATAGATAGCTGATTTGAACTATATTTATTCAAACTAAGAATTATATAATATATAATATATATCTAGTATAATGGATGACTATATAACCAAAGATTACTAGCGAGAAAACCATTAAAACTGCTTGGTTATATATCAAATATATACTAACTTTACTAGACAGTAATATATCATCTACTTATAAACACGTTTATTATATATACCTTATTTCAGAAAGAAATCAGAGATATATAATATTCCTTAATTCTAATAAAATTTCAGAAGCTCGGTTTTTCAACCTGTTTTTCAACCGTTAGCCACTCTGCTAAAGACTTAACGTTAGTAGAGCTTATTAAGTAAGCGGGACTACTCAGCTTGGAGTATAACGTATTCAACGGTTGGGCGGCCAGCCCCTTCGAAAACACCACCTTCGATCCCCTCCCTGAAGCAATTCGACTACTACAGATGCCAGCAACAACACCTATCTCATCAAAAACGCAGGTGGAGCAGGAAGGCAGGATCCTTCTTGCCATTGAAGCTATTCAGAAAGGCAAATTCTCTAGTATTCGCGAGGCAGCGCGTACTTATGATATCGCTCGCACTACCCTCCGCTCTCGACTAGCTGGACGAGGTTTTGCTAGAGAAATGGTCCACGCACGTCAAAAATTATCAAAAAATGAAGAAGAATCGCTTGTCAAATGGATTTTATCTCTAGATAAGCGAGGCGCAAGTCTCCGACCGCTTGAAGTCAGAAATATGGCTAATCTGATCCTTTCTAAACGAGGTCATTCAAACTATAAAGAAGTTGGTATCAACTGGGCCTACAGCTTTGTCAAACGACATGAATCCCTACAGTCTCGATTTGCAAGACGATACAACTATCAAAGAGCTAACATGGAGGATCCTGAGATTATAAAAGACTGGTTCAATCGGGTTCGCGAGGTTATCCAAGAGTACGGGATGTCACCAGACGATATATACAATTTCAATGAAACAGGCTTCGCTATGGGAATGATTGCTACATCAAAAATAGTAACTAGTTCCCAAATGGCTGGTCGGCCCTATCTAGTTCAACCAGGAAATCGGGAATGGGTCACTTCTATTGAATGTATTCGATCTACTGGAGAGGTTTTACCTCCAACCCTGATCTTCAAAGGCAAAACACATCTTCAAGCATGGTATAAAGATCGATCCGTTCCTCCTAAATGGAGGATTGAAGTCCGCAATAACGGTTGGACTACCGATATAATCGGACTTCGATGGCTTCAAGAACACTTTATTCCGTTGATCAAAGGCAAATCAGTAGGAAAATACAGCCTCCTGATCCTCGACGGCCATGGCAGTCATTTGACTCCTGAATTTGATCAATCTTGTGCTGAAAATGATATTATTCCTATCTGTATGCCTGCTCATTCATCCCATCTGCTTCAACCTCTTGATGTTGGTTGTTTTAGCGTACTTAAACGTACGTATGGTGGCATGGTTCAAAAGAAGATGGAATACGGCGGAATCATATAAATAAACTTGACTTTCTAGAGGTCTATCCTAAAGCACACCCACAAGCTTTAACAAAGTCAAGTATTATCAGTGGCTTTAGAGCAACTGGTCTAGTTCCTCTAGATCCTGATCGAGTGCTTTCCCAGCTGAATATTCGCTTGAAAACACCACCATCTCCGGACAGTCAGTCAAGTGGCTCAGTGCTCCAAACACCACATAATATAAAGCATCTTTTAAAGCATCAAAAATACTGTGAACGCCTGCTTCGAAAACGTCAAGCAAGTCCAACTTCACCTACACACTCTACACTGCGGCAGCTTCTTAAAGGGTGCGAGCTAGCAATAACAAACTCGATTATACTAGCCAAGGAGAATGAGGAACTACGCGCTAGTCATGAAAGACTACAACAAAAGAAGAAACATTCAAGAAAGCAGATGGCCTGTGAGGAAGGTATTACTATTAAAGATGCTCAGGAAGCTATACAACAAGAAGAGGATGTTCAAAATGATCAAGAAGTTGAGGTTGAACCTCAAACCTCAACCTACGGAGACCCCCTCGCGCGCGCCTCCACGCTGCACCAATTGCTTCAATATTGGTCACCGACGTACGCAGTGTTCAAAAAAACCTAGTAATTAGTTAGATAGGGTTTTAATATGAAGTTGTGTTGATTTAAAGGCTTCAATTTGATCTTATCGGGCAATCCTACCAAGGGGGTGGGCCGCCCAACCGTTGATTACGTTAAGCTAAGCTGAGCTCTGATTAGCTAAACTCGATACTCGGTTGAGCCGTCACATGACCCCCCGATACCCGCCCGACCCGCGAATCTACCATGTCTAGGTAGATCTGCTGGCTCACTCGCTTGCGTGGCTCGCTTGCGTGGCTCGCTCGGCTGACAATTACATTAATGAATTTAATTAGTTGATCCTCTGCGGATTGACTAAGTCAATCTGACCGCGCAATCAAGCTTGGCAACTGCTGAGTACCTTTTCGGGGGCTGTCGGATGTCCGGCTATTAACTACCGGGGAAGCCATATGATGATGCGTGTATTTTCATTAATGACAGAAAATGTGATAGCACTCAACGCATCCTGGCAGATTTAGTATCTATATTCGGTTGGCTGTGATAACACGAATATTCGACCAGATAGGGGCGGTAAACCTCAGCTTCAATAGAGGAACCCCCCCGCCGTCATATCTACATTAGGCCGCGTCAGCTCCTAGAATCTGATCCCAGAAGCCAGGTAGAGGAGAACTGTGCACTTTGTAGGGAGTTAGTCAAGAGGTGGTTAGAAGGCATCGGCGCCAAGGTTGCCTATGGCACGCGCAGCATACTCCGGCTGGCCCCAGTGATTTTGTTAGTACGGTGGAGAGGTGCACGGATCCGATTCCTTTGATTTCTGCTGATTATATGACTATTAATACTTTGTAAGTTATAAATCACCTTCGGCGTTGATCACCGCTTCGCATCTCACTGTCATACTGTCAAGCAATTCATACCAAAATGCCTCCGGTAAAGCATTCCCAAGCAGCGCGTACAACCGCACGTTGTCGATCATGTAATAACTGCTCATCACTGGGGTAAAGCGGTCAATCCAGCTCGGGCATTAAAGGCATTATTAGGAACAATATGAATCAATATCTTGATAATTCCAACGTGTTCACGGCTTCATGAATTCAACGCGTGGCTTTATAAGGAAAGCAGTACTGGATAGGAGACTCATTGCTTAGAAGAGTCGAATCCCTGCACCTCTCCACTGTACTAACAAAATCACCAGTGCTAACCAGAGTAAGCTATCTAATTCAATACGACTAGACATTGCTTGCTCACCGAAGTTGTGCAGCGCCTACGTAATCTGACACGCGTGGACAGTATCATCTCAGGCGGAGTTGTTGGTTTTGTAATCATCTGCCTGACATAGAATTTATGGTCTCTTCCCCTTTAATTCAAGAATGATGGGGAAGACCATGAATGACGGAAATGACAATCCTATTTCTCTGATCGTTGCAAGTCAATTGATGGAGAAAACTAATAATAACGTAGAAGTTCAGCTTCTTGGGCTGGACGCGTATCACTGTCTTCTAAATCCGGCTTTTACCCTAGAGAGGGCCGCGTAATGCTATCTCGGCTTCCAAGGCTCCAGCTATAAACCTGCTTTTGAAGCTAGCTTGGGCAATTCTGTCTGTCCAGGCCTACTTAACCCGACTCTTGACACCTTGTTCACTCGCCCATTTTCTCTTATAACATCCTTTTTCTTGCTTTTCTTTATAATTTCCGTGAAATAATGGGGATAATATCTACACTGAAGGTAGCAATCTTGCTCATAGTAACAGAATTTATTATCATCGCTTGTGCTTTGCAGCCGCGATCAAATAATGTTACTTGCAGCGAATCAACCAAGCACACACGTGTTGAGTGGTCTAACCTGACTCAGAGTCAGAAAAAAGTCTACCTCACGGCTGTCCAATGTCTCTTCAGCCTCCCTTCACAGACCGGCATAGATGGAACTGTCACAAGATACGATGACCTGAACGCAATGCATCAAGTGCAAACGAAAACAATTCATCGAGTGGTAAGTAGTCATTGATGCACATTCGTTTGGAAATTGTCAACTCATTATAGGCAGGGCCAATTCCTTCCGTTTCATCGACTCTATGTGCATGCTTACGAAAAGATCCTAAGAGAGGAATGTGGTTATACTGGACCCACACCGTGAGTAGGTAACGGCTTTAAAACAGGCGCCCCCGACTAACATTGATAACGAAAGCTGGTGGGACGAAACCAAAGATGCGGGAAATTTCAGCAACTCCAGTATCTTTGATTCCAAATCAGGATTTGGTGGAGATGGCGTCGGTTCCAACAAATGTGTCGTGGACGGCCCTTTCGCAAATATAACGTTGCACATAGGGCCGGGTACGAGCAACAAAGACCATTGCTTGTCCAGGTTTATAGATGAAGGAAACAGCAGCTTAGCAAACACCACATACGTGTCAAGCTGCCAGAGCCAAAGTACCTATATCGACTACTTAGACAAAAGCGCACTCACCACACACGGTGCTGGTCACGGCGGGGTGAGTCCGGGATTGAAACTATCTCAGCCATTCTTCTTGCTAAGCTGAACAGGTCGGCGGTGTTATGTACGATATCGACTCTAGCCCTGGAGGTCAGTTTCCCATCGCGAAGAAGCGACCATCCACAGTTGACTAATACCACTCCAAGACCCTCTTTTTTATCTCCATCACGCTTGGTATGACCGTCTATGGTGGAACTGGCAAAAGGCGGATTTGCAGAACCGACTATACCAAGTAGGAGGTTACACAACCCAAACCGAGCCAGCTGATGGTTGGAAGAATCTCACGCTTGACTATACCTTGACAACATACAATATTGTCCCTAACGTCACTGTTAGGGAAGTGATGGATATACAAGGGGGCTATCTGTGCTATGATTACGACTACTGATCTGGTGGACTGGGACTATACCGCCCTCCCCGCCTTTCACACGATTGAGAGCGAGTGATAGTGACTAGGGGGCTTAGTACGATTTGCCGTGAACAGCCATGAAGCATGTACGGCGAGCGGGAAATGAACTTTACGGCGGGCCTACATGGTGTATTTGGGTTTCCCTGAACGAGAGCAAGCTAAGATTTTTTGGCTTCCTCGTGCCACGACTTGTATCTTGGCTCAAGCATAGCTGCTAATTTTATTTAAATCATAATCACGACTTAGTATTTGCCTCTTACATACAACGATAAAGCAAGGGCTGGGAAGGCGACGTCCAGGGTTCTGGGTGATAAGGACATAAGCCTTCTTTCGTTTCGTCAGTATTTCTCTGGATACAACGTTGGGGCCATTGACGGATGAGACGCCCGGTCAGATCAGGCAATATGTACATACTATACTTGTTATGATCGATGGTGATGCGATGATGATGTTTTCATTTATTCTGACCCTACAAGTACCTATATTACTATGCTAAATAGAAGCAGATCACTTTCTTTACTTTTCTGCAATTTAGGTGCTGCAACGGCGTCTGGGAACTTACTAAGAGGCTATTTTAGTATTTTAAACCTACTGAGCTATTGTATCTGCTAGACTTTAAACAATACAGGCAAAACATTAAATATATAATGTTACACAACTGGTAAGTATCCTGAGCTAAGGATAGTAAGAAAAGGAAGAATAAATGCAGTTTATTATAAACTACTTGTATACGGTGATAAGGACAACCATTGGATATACCCCAATGGCTACTCCTGAGGAGTCACGGCGGGAGTATACGGAGGATAGGATATATAAGGACACTCTTTCATGTACTTACTTAGTTCTGTTCTTCGTGCTCAATAACACTGTCTTTAAGTAACCATACGTTTGGAAGCTTAGCTACAGAACACTCGTCCGCACTTACTTACGAATAGCTGTGCGGCACTATTCGGCCTTACTTCTCTTCTTTGTCCAAGACCAGCTGCTCCTTATATAGACCTCAGCCTGATACTCCCTTCGACTCAATTCGACGGTACGTATACAAGTGGAGCTAACAGGGACAGGGAAGCGATCCTAGGGTTTGAAAACTTTTAAAGAAAAAAAAATTAGATATTAAGTTCTGATAATCTACTTTTATTAAATATTAGATAAAACTAGTTCTTAATAAATTCTAGGGTGTGGACCTCTGTCGTCTAACCTGCTTTATGTGAGGGTCATGTTCATAGCCACTTCTCATGCATGGAAATTGTATCCCTGTTTGCCATTATGCAGTTGACATTAAGTGTCTTGTGACTTCCATATGTGCCGACTCGATACTGAGTACGCGACCAACCACCCCAATCCCGGGACCAAGGCTTAGGACAGACCTGTACGTCTTTGCGGGTCGCGATCGCCATACAATTTATAGCGGCAATGACGACGGTGGCCTTTCGAATCACCCTTCTGGTTGAAGCGAGGCGGTTGGTCAGATACATTGGGACCGAAAGTTCTCCTCTTTTCCGGTCAGTTGCTGTAGAAGCACAACCAGGCTTTGTTTGACCAAGAACATGGGAATGGGAGAAGAGAGGGAATCCCAGAGCCTACCGCATGTGGCACATTCGAAGACAACAATTTTCGACGTTCAGCATTACATGCGTTTTTGCGTGGCTGCTGCCCAAAATAAGGGCAATTTAGGCGGAGACGTCGACCCTTACTAAGAAGGTCACTGTACCTACCAAACAGAGATGAGGACAGCACCCAGAATCAACTGATGGACGTCGGAGATTTCAGCTCAATGATACCAGAAGCTCAAACGGCCATCCCAACGTCAGATTCGCATAATGCGAAACTGGAAAGTACGAATCCAGTGTCTCTTACCCCTTGTCATGATCTCAATGATATCAGCCCTATCTTTTTGTCGTCACCGTGCTTACGGGTCAAGAAGGCACCGGATCTCGTGGGCATCTTCCGGCGTCTATGCAGCCTGTTACTACTCTCACTTCGTTGCGTAACATTGAGGAGCCTGTGGCCATAAATGATGGCTTTGCAGATGCGTTAGGGCCAACCTTGTACCCGAACACCCAACTTCCGAATGGATCGTGCGAGGATTATAGTGCTCCAGTCTTCTGGAACATGACATTTCCGCCTATCCATGCGGCGCAGCAATATCATGGGGGATTAAATGAAATTGATACAAGAATTCTGGCGTCCCCCCTCATCTCAACTGTTGATCAGACACAAAGTATTCAGACACAAATTATGCAAAGAAATTGATGCTATTGGTTTCCAGGATGCGCCCGCGGCATACCAAGAACCATAATCCCACGCAATTCGGTCAGGTCGTTTTCAAGTCTTATTCTTCGAATGCAAAGTTCACACTGATGCCTGTACTCTCCATTTCAGAGACCTTTCGTGCAAGCTCACGTGACTGTGGCAGGGTCATCTTAGCCCACGTCGCCAGTTCGTCCTTGTTTGTAAATGCGAGCGTGGTTGCGGATCCTTGTTTGATCTCGAAGGCGAGTCGGGCATCAAGAATTACTCTAGCAAAATGTCAAAGAATGCGATCATTAAGGTCTGAGAGGGGAACTAACAAGCCACCGTTTGTAATTTCAACGTCTGTGCCTTGACACCTCACGCTTCTCAAAGCTGCAGATGGTATTTCGAACAAGCCATTCGCTGCGCCAACGGTAGGTAACGAGTGTAGATGTGAACCGCCATAGTATGTCGCTCGAGAGCCCTTGCCCCATACATGAACAATGAGAACGCGCAAACCAGCCTTCGGACCACCCTTTCTAAAACAAAAGATGTGGCCTGGATCTCGTCTGTATCGTAGATAGAGCCCTAGACCGCACCATTCAAAAAAAAGATCGGAGGATAGATCGAACACGCTGAGACAAGTCAGAGAGATATCACGAGCATGCGTGCCGTCTACCAACCGTATCATCAAGGACCTTGCGCTTGCAGGAATCCAGGCCGTATTCGGATGAAAGAGCAAAGTCATCCTGCTCCATATCGACGTTCTCTCCTGGCCCTCTCTGTGTCTACCAGATAGTAGAAGCCATCCTTCAGGAGAGAGCTCTTTGCATCTTCAATCGAGAAAGGTCCTGGAGGCATGAGCATGACTGTGAGGCAAGTGTTGGCGTTATCGCTCAAGTTGGGCGTGGAACAATCGACGTGACTGCCCCTCACTCCAATCCCGGAAAATCTATTTTTCCTCCCTTCTGGTTCGGCAGGATGGGGCGTAAATTCTCGACTCCCCGTATCTGGGTCAGGCATCCGCTGGTTCCTTTTAGGCGCTCACACCGTTTATGGTAAGTGCGTTCCGTTTCGTCATCTTTTCCAGGGGTCATGGTCTCGTCCTTTCCTTCATACAAGGGTCATCGGATCTGTTCCCGTCCCGCACCGTACTTAACAGGGAACATGGATATGTGGCCCATACACACATCAACACCCGAAAGACAGTGTGGGGCGCATAGAAAAACTTTACTTTCTGCACTGAAGTGGTATAGGGGCAGTGATTTAGTGCGATTGTCGCCGGGTCTATCTCAGAACGGCAAGCTAAAAAAGGCTAGAGCATCGCCAGACTTGCGCTGAGCCAATGCTTGTTGACTGAGAAAAACGAACTAGATGGTGGCTCTCGAACGCAAAATGTCACCTAGGGCACGCAGGTCAGTTCTCGTACCTTTGTCCACAGGACGAGACGATCAAAAGAACTAGAGTAGGTGAATATAGTTTTAAAAAGAGGCAACGACGAAGATATAAATACAAGCGGTCGCATCACTTTATGGTTATCCTCAACTACAAATCATCATATCATACCATTCTCCATACGCCATGAACGCCATCAGTGGAGGTGATTCATTCCACAGCCCTTCCCAGATGTCTCTTATACACGTCATATTTCCTGGTTTCAGCATGGTCTCAACCTCCGCACACCAGCTGCTTGCCGGTAACCTGGACAGCTACACCCAAATATTTTGTACTTTCGGGATGTTTGTCCTCTTCACCCGCTACGCAGTCAACTATGTTTGGGGGATAGTGAGAAGCTACTTCAGTTCGTATGTCTGCTGTTATATATGGTATGAGTCTGACAGTTCAAAGCCTCCACAATCTATGTCTCATACTATGACGAAGCACACGACATGCTAGTTGATTGGATAGCTGATCAACCATTTGTTCACAATGCCCATTCATTGATTGCTCGAGTGAGATCCACACAGCGGACAAACAGCCTCTATTCAACCAACAAAAAGCCTCTGGCTTTTTCTCCTTGGGATGGATCATTTCATTTTTGGTATAGGGGGCATTTGCTCGTACTTCACTGCGATGTCAAAGAGCGTCGAGAGGATCTCCGCATCTCCTCCATTGGTCTTAATGCCAACATCCTGAAAAGTCTGATCGAAGAGTGCCGAGAAAGGTATCTCAAGGACACACAGAGAAAGATCGCTGTCTTTGAACATCGCGAAGGGGAGTGGAAGAAAGCCAGATTGAGACCAGTTCGGCCTATCTCCACGGTAATCATGGACAACGAGGTATAGAACGATATTTTAAGAGACGTGGACGAGTTCCTCGACCAAGATATGCAAGGCTGGTACGCAGAACGCGGGATTCCGTACAAACGAGGCTACCTTCTTTACGGCCCCCCTGGGACTGGAAAATCCAGCTTCAGTCTATCACTCGCGGGAAAGCATGAACTGGATATTTATACGCTTCAATTGTCGAATATTTCGGACACCACGCTTATGAGGCTTTTTGCCGAGCTCCCACCGCGTTGCATTGTTCTCTAAGAGGACGTGGATACCGCCGGGGTAGGGCGTCGGGATAGCGTCGACGCAGGCCAAGAAAGCGAGTCAAAGTCAGCAGTCACTCTCTCCGGGCTTTTGAATGTGCTTGATGGTGTTTCGTCTCCAGAGGGCCGGATACTCATCATGACTACCAATCACATCGAATATCTAGACGAAGCACTGATTCGGCCTGGCCGTTCAGACAAGAAAGTTCATTTCAAACTTGCCGGTCGGAACATTTCCACTCAGCTCTTCCACACGGTTTTCAAGCAGTTGCCGAATCAAAAGCAACGCAACAAGGAATATGGCGACAAGACGATCGATGGCCTTGCTGGTGAGTTTGCCAGCAAGGTGCACGAGCAACTCTTCAGCCCGGCAGGAGTTCTATCATTTCTTTTGGAGCGGAAGAAGTCGCCCTATGATGCTGTTTCCGGTGTGGAGAGCTGGGTGGCTAAAGCGAAGCATTGAGGGAGAGAGAGAAGAAAAGGAAGAACGACGGGGACTGTGACAGATGAAATGGGCACCGTTTCACGAGCAATCATTCTTGTGTTCGTTAAGCAATACGTTCTCTCATATGGTCATACCCTTCTAGACGGGCAAGATCTAATATTCCTCTCCCTTCTTGATCTGCAGAATCGCTTCTCCCTTTCAATCTAGACAACGTATATTCCTCCGCTTTCGTTATCATGATGCTCCCTTTTGCGATAGACTCCTGCTTCCGGACATGCCAACCTATGCTACTGGTGCCTCGCGAATTCTAGATACCCACGCTGCTAAAGGAAATCTAGTCGTCCGTTCACGGTAAATGGAGCTCGATGTCTTATTTCAGACGACTAAACAGATTGTACGCTCCGAGGGAAGGCGTTCCGGAAGGACTAATGACGTGGATGACACAGTTTGCTGGCGCAGGTCGGGTTCAGCCTGTCCAGCATATGAAGATCAGCTGAATGCTAACGATGCATGTTATGGCGTACATGCAGGTAGTGGATTTGGCTCAACAGCCGGATAACTTCGGTGACAGCGCCTGGGGTGGTGACTCCGAAAATGAGTATAGCAACATATGGGTCTGATGCGGTCTAGATCTTTCTATCATACACTGTTTCCAAGCGCAGCATTTTTCATAGAGAATCCGGCATCGCCTATAACATCACTCTTTTCGGCGATGAAACTGCTCGATCCAGTATAGTAAGCAACTCCCTCAACGCAGACCACGACGGCAGGTTGCACACTGCCATCGTATGTATGGACAACGACATTCTGGTCGACAATGGTAGCAACAAAAGCTCCTTCGTTGAAATAATTGGAAACAATAGAGTTGTACGCCCACCGTTGCGCTAATGGCCTTATGCCCTTTGCGTGCGCCAAGGCCATGCGTGCTGTTACGCACGAGCCAGTTGGTGATCTGTCGACTTGGCTGTCAGCAAAGAAGCACAACCCAGTCTCAGCACCGTTGACATTGCTGGGCCTTGATCCCCCCGCTCCATCGACCACCATGACCGAATATAGGAAGGACAGCCTCTTATCCTCAACAATCCGTAACGCATCGACAACCGCAGGATGATTCGATAGGTAGGGTTTCAGCTTCCCCACCGCGTGCGCCACAGATATCAGGTCGACGCTTCCCAACCCTTTCTTGAATCCCAACTCGCTGACATCCACAAGCGCATAGAAAGCTCCTCCGTACGCTATGTCTAAGTTTATGGATGCCTTGTCGCCCAATTCTGGCCATCTGATTTCTGCTGGGATCTTGATGTTGAGATCGATTCCAGCAGCGTAGGCTGGTGTAGAGAGGAAAGATACAGAACGAAATGGGTCGGATTTTTGACCGTCATCCGTCGTGGGAACAGAGACGCGAACGAGTCCACACGGAGCGTGGATATTCACAGCGACCTTCTTGCTGATCGGGTCAAAAACCAAGTCCTTTCTTTTAGGGAAGACACTGAGATCGTGTGTATCGACTAAGAATCGACCAAGTGCGATGGTAGCATGTCCGCACATGGTCGAAAATCCTCCATTGTGTATAAAAAGAACGCCAATATGCGCTTCATCTGAGTGAACAAGCTCTGTTTCCGGAATGACAATGGCCCCGTACATGCCATCGTGTCCTCTGGGCTCGAGCATAAGACGCTTGCGGATCGTATCGTATTGGCTTTTGGCTTGATCCCGTTTGTCCAAAAGTGTCCCTGTAAGGGGGGGAAAACCGGAGTAAATAATCCGCGTGGGCTCGCCTGTGGTATGCATGTCGATGCATTTAATAACCTCTCCAGAGGAAATGTTTTCGAAGGCTTGCGCTAGTTCCATAGTGAGAGGCGTAGTCTGAGGTTAATCGATGAACGAAGCAAGAGTATATGATAGATGACTGATTGGTAACGGGGCCATCGATATATAAAACAAGATTGACAAGATCAACTGTCGCACACCCGAAAAGACTGTATGCCCAAACTAGATATCTCACGGGACGTTATTCCGACAGCGGATAATGGTTCCACGCAGTGGACATGGGATTTTCCTCGAATTAGCCCACACAATGAAGCTGATTCGCACAGCCATGACGGGTTGAACCGGAAGTTATTGCCGCAGTGGGGAAGCTTCGGGAAGGCCATCCGGGCCAAGACTGTTCAACTGTATATAACAGCAATACTCTAAGAAGCAGAAAGAGGCAGTAATGCATCTGACCACACCCTTGAACTTCGTGTGATTCCTTCTTCAGCTCTACAAATTTACAGTACGATTCATGATGCTGGTCGTCCGTGAAGCCGATGTCTATCAGATTCTATGTGACCTCTCTCCGCAGCAAGCCCGTCGCTTTCTAGACACACTATCAGCGGCGTTAATTCTATACTCTAAGGAGAATAGATTCGCCAATCGTGAAATCCTCTTACACCAACCTTCGCGGACTCATATCGTTAATAAGCACAACGACACAGCGCTGTTCATGCCCTCGTCAGATACCCAAACAAATGGGATCAAACTTATAGCGTTACCATCAGGGGGAGGAACAGCAGGGGCGATAATACTGTTTACGCCGTCAGGAGAGATTACTGGGATGGTTGGGCCCTCCCATATGACAGCGTTTCGTACTGCGTTGGCAACCATGACTCTGTTCGCAAAGGTCCGCCACATATCGAAAAAGAACATGGTGATATTTGGTTCTGGAAGACAAGTGGAGTGGCATCTCCGCCTAGCGTTCCTCTTGACTGCCGGTGAAATCGAAAACGTTTGGATCATCAACAGAGGCCGTGAGAGACTCGACAACCTGGAGAAGGAAGTGTTGTCTACTCTACGGCTGACCCACGCGAATGTCAGCTTTCATCTGATTGCCAAAGAAGATACTCCCCGATACAATGAGGTGCTTCGAGCGACGCTGAAATCATCCGACGTTATATTTTGTTGCACGCCGTCCACTTCACCGTTATTCCCGTACTCTATCCTCCGTTCGTCCCCCAAAGACCGTTTCATCTCTGTCATTGGATCTTACAAGCCACATATGAGGGAGATTGACACAGAAACTCTGCTTTCCGGTGGCGGTCGTGTGTTCGTCGATTCAGCAGACGAATGTCTCGAGGAATCAGGGGAGCTGATTGACGCCAATGTGACAAAGGAGGCGTTAATTGAGATTGGAGAGTATCTAGGGAGTCAGTGTTCAGGCTATCCGGAAGGAAACGTTGTATTGAAGTGTGTAGGGATGGGCATAATGGACCTAGTTAGCTCTCGGTTGCTGCTCGAATTGGCAGAGGAGTGCGGGGTTGGCCAACAAATGCTGGATGCAATTGGTCCATTCAACCCCTTGGTACACAACTTCTTCTATGGGTGAACGTTCACCGAATCTGCCAAGAATCACACATCTTCTCATTTCCCAATTCAATTTTCTTAGCTCATGCTTTGAGAGAGTTTCAGACTCGGTACGTAGAAGAGGGCCGCGTCAACCAACGTCTCGGAAGGCCCTTCCGCCAACAACATCCTGCCCAAGGCTTCAATCCCCTTCCACCAGCCAAAAGTGACTATGTTGGTTAGATTACTCGCCATTACCACTGCGTCAACGATACTAATCTTTAAGAGCATAATATTGTGCACGATTCACTAGAGATTCTGGAGCTGGAGCCTTATTCACTTCACCGTTACTCGAAGCCCATCTCTCCGGGGTTCGCACTCAACCAGTGAACTCGCGACGAGAAACGGAAGCCTACTCCGCAAATGATCGGAATCCGCGGGGACTCTGCCAAACACTTTTCTTGACAAGCTATCTTTGGTTTAGATCAACCGGGGATTTTATTGTTCCGGTGCTCCCGCGGCTCCGCCGCCACTGGTCTACCCAGCGAAAAACAACTTCCCTTCAGCTCAGAAGAAATCCTTGAAATAATCATTTATTTGAAGTCCAATTGATCTTAAGCCTGGTTCAATCTATTAATCAGGCTTCTAGCTATCGCCCAATACCCAGAAGTCATTTTGGTAGAACCATTTGGCCAGTGTTGGGGATCCAGCCGCTGTATTACCACGAGCACGCCACGAAAACCATAGCCGAGGCCACAGCACTGCTGGAGCTCGACAGCACCAAACGACCCAAACTACCAGTTCCATCTCTGGATGGCTTTTTCAACAGCGCGACTTATCTTGGCTAAGAAAATCAGCGAACAACCATCCGGACAGAGATCCTGAGAAAGCTAAACAGTCTCCAGCCGATCGTAGAGGACATCAACCTCATCAAGAATGCCATCAACGTACTCGCATCGCCTGCTCCCGTCGCACCCAATGCAGCTACCCGCATCGCCTCCTGGGCGACGTAGTCCGCTCGGGCGTAGTCCGTCGACATGGACTAGCAGAGTTTCCACAACCGCGAAAGTTAAATACAGGGAGACCGTAGTAAAAATGGGTGCGAACGCGGCGGCTGGACGTACTCCGCCAGGTATCGTCGGAAGACCTCCGCAAAAGGGTGAATGATGCCTTAGGCTCACGGCTAAATCTTCTCCTCAGGTCATCGTGTCAATGCAAACTGACGGATGTATCGGGTCACGCGACCCATTTTCTGCGCGGGCTCCCGTCGCTGACCTTCTGTTTCGTGGTAGAAGGTATGTACTGTAGGTGGGGCGAACTGTACTGGAACAGATCTATCTGTGAAGCCATCAAGGACTGTAGTACTGCAGACTCGAGGCGGCGTTGGAATTCTGATGCACAAAATGTCGGGACGGGCCGAAACACGAACCCCTGAGTCGCCCGACCGCGACGAACATGAAAATTCGCCACCACGGTTGGCGAGACCGAAACGCATCACAAGGCCACCGACTCATTATGCTCACGACCAAGAGATCGATACCGAGCGGAGAATCACGCGCTTCCAGCGGAAGAAGAACCTGCAGGGCGAGCCAGTGTCCCAACGTGAAGCGGTGGCTTCCGACTCCTCCCCGACAGACAGAGAGGACCCAAACGCCTCCGACCTAGTTAAGGAAGTCGTCAAACTTCGAAGAGAAATCAGACGACGAGATGATCTGCACAAGGAAGAGCTACAAAAAGTTAAGGCAGAATTCAGTGCCGCTCTCACGGAGGTTCGACAAGAGCTACAGACCCTGATTGAAAGGCCCCTATCACCGCAATCCCATCCCGAGTCATGCGTTCAGAACCACGAGGAGATCCTTCGCGAAATCCAATCCCTACGCATTTCAGTCAGTCCATCAGACCCCACAGGTTCCCCGTTTTATGCAGATGTTGCGCGCACTCCTCCAACCAGCCAACCTAGCAATATACGGAGACTCTCATCATCGAACACTACACCGACTACCCTTACCGACACGCTGTATTGCACGATAGACACCTCGCAGATGGCACTTAATGAAAACGAGAGACCGTCCGCAGGTCCGATTAAACGGGCGGTCGAAGCCGAAATTCGGACAACGGAGAACCACATGAACTGGCGATCCCGCGCGGTCACAGTGGACCCGAAGAACACCAACCGGATCAGAATTGCGTGCCGGGACGAAGCTGAACAACAGCTAGTCAAAAAGGTGGCGGAAGCCAAGATTGGTCCAGGAGCCCGGGTGCTCCGTGACGAACTATACCCAATCAAGGTCGACAGCGTCAACAAGAACGCAGTGCTCGATGAAAATGGTGATATCCGGGTAGGAGTTGCGGCAGCCTTCGGCGAGGAGAACGAAACCACAGTTGCCAAGATTGCATGGCTTAGTAGAAAGGAGAATGCGAAGGCTTATGGGTCAATGGTTGTTTACCTGACCAATGGCAGTGATGCACGAAGGCTCCTGGCCGACGGATACTTCCACGCCGGAGGGGAATCCGGCACGACCAGTATCTTCGAACGTCGTCCACGACCGACACAATGCTACAACTGCCAAGAGATTGGCCATAAGGCATTCCAGTGCAAGAACGCCCAAGAGTGCGCAAAATGCGCCATGGAGGGACACCGACACAGTGACTGCGACAACACGGTCTTAAAGTGCATTTCATGCGGAGGACCACACGAATCATTTAGCAAGAACTGTCGGAAGGTCTACCCAGCGCGTCATGAATAGAGCACTCCGAATCATCCAACTTAACGTGAGGAAACAGGGTGCAGTGCATGAGAGCTTAATAAACCACGAAGACACTCGGGGCGCAGTGGCGCTAACAATTCAGGAACCCCAAGCGAGGAGAATTCAAGGCCGGCTCTTGACGACCCCGATGGGACATCACAAGTGGACGAAGATGGTGCCTTCCACGTGGAGGGAAGGCAGATGATCCACGTGGAAGGCAGATGGGCGATTCGGAGCCTGCTCTGGATTAATAAGGGTGTGGAAGCGGAGCAGGTGTCGATCGAATCCCCGGATCTGACAGCGGTGGTCATCCAGCTCCCCGAGCGACTGATTTTTAATGGCATCCGTCTACGTAGAGGAAGAAGACGCCCAAGCTTTGAGCGATGCATGCAACCACCTGCGCAAAGCAATTATAAAGGTTCGGCGAGACACGGGCACAGTGGTGGAAGTCATGGTTATGGGAGACCTTAACCGGCACGACCGACTCTGGGGAGGAGGCGACGTGTCATTAGAAAGGCAGGGCGAAGCGGACCCCATTATTGACCTTATGAATGAGTTTGCTCTTAGCAGTTTACTTAAACGGGGCACCAAGACGTGGCACGGAGGAGGACTGGGAGGAGACTATTCGTCCACTATCGACCTCGCCCTTGCCTCTGAGAATTTGACAGACGCCATGATCAAGTGCGCAGTACATGAGACAGACCATGGGTCCGACCACCAGGCAATTGAGACCGTGTTCGATACCCCGTGGCCTGCTCCAAAACACCAGGAGCGATTTCTGCTTAAAAACGCGCCATGGAAGGAGATAAACGCCAGGATCGCAAGCACTCTGGCCGCCACTCCGTCGGAGGGGACGGTACAGCAGAAGACCGATCGACTAATGTCGGCAGTGGGGGAGGCGGTACACGCCTTGACTCCAAAGGCCAAACCGTCCCCGTACGCAAAGCGATGGTGGACAGCTGACTTGACCCAGCTCCGTCAGATATACCCATACTGGAGAAACCATGCCCGCTCAGAGCGACGAGCGGGACGCAACGCACAACACCTGGAACAGATAGCCGGACGCGCGGCGAAGCAATACCACGATGCCATCCGGCAGCAAAAGAAATCACTGGCAGGAGTTCCTAGCGGACAATGACAACATATGGGAAGCCGCCAAATATCTGAAGGCGGGAGAAGATGCGGCATTCGGGAAGGTACCGTAGATCACTAAAGTGGATGGTAGTAGCACCACCGATTACAAAGAACAAGCCGATGAATTACTCGCCACATTCTTCCCGCCCTTGCCGGACAACATTGACGATGAAGGAGGCCGACCACAAAGAGCGCCGGTGGAGATGCCTGCCATCACCCTGGAGGAGATCGAACGACAGCTCTTTGCAGAGAAATCATGGAAGGCACCTGGGGATGACGGCCTACCGGCGATAGTGTGGAAAATGACGTGGCCCACGGTCAAGCACAGGGTCCTCGATCTATTCCAGGCGTCGCTGGAAGAAGGCACGTTGGCACGACAGTGGAGACATGCGAAGATTATACCGCTTAAAAAGCCGAATAAAGAGAAATACACCGTTGCCAGAGCATGGAGACCAATTTCAACTCCTCGCGACGCTGGGCAGGATCCTGGAATCTGTGGTCGCAGAAAGGATCTCACACGCGGTGGAGACTTATGGTTTGCTCCCGACCAGCCACTTCGGCGCCCGAAAGCAGCGGTCCGCCGAGCAAGCACTCGTACTCCTGCAGGAGCAAATCTACGCGGCATGGCGCGGCCGACGCGTCGTGAGCTTGATCAGCTTCGATGTCAAGGGAGCCTACAATGGAGTATGCAAAGAACGATTGCTGCAGAGGATGAAAGCGCGAGGCATACCAGAGGATCTGCTCCGGTGGGTCGAAGCGTTCTGCTCGGAACGGACGGCGTCCATTCAAATCAACAGGCAATTGTCTGAGGTCCAGAGCCTGCCACAGGCTGGACTACCACAGGGTTCGCCACTGTCCCCGATCCTATTCCTCTTCTTCAACGCAGACCTCGTACAACGACAGATCGACAGCCAGGGAGGGGCAATCGCGATCGTGGATGATTTCACCGCGTGGGTGACCGGACCAACTGCGCAGAGTAATCGGGCAGGTATCGAGGCAATTATCAATGAAGCTCTTGAGTGGGAGAAAAGAAGCGGCGCGACGTTCGAGGCAGACAAAACAGCTATCATACACTTCTCTCCTAAGGCCCACAAATCGGACCAGGAGCCATTCACCATCAACGGACAAATCGTGGAGCCCACAGAACATGTCAAGATCCTGGGCGTCCTCATGGACGCGAGACTCAAATACAAGGAACATATCACGAGGGCAGCGTCCAAAGGCTTGGAGGCAGCGATGGAGCTTCGGCGACTTCGGCGACTTCGCGGCCTATCCCCAGCAACAGCACGGCAGCTGTTCACATCGTGGTGGAATACGCCTCGAGTGTCTGGACGCACGCGTGCAAGGATAAGGAAATCGGGCCGATCAATCGAGTCCAAAGGGTGGGAGCGCAGGCAATCGTGGGGACATTTCTCACAGTCGCGACCAGCGTAGCGGAGGCAGAGGTTCACATTGCCTCTGCGCAACGCCGGTTTTGGAGACGGGCCGCGAAACTGTGGACCGACCTCCATACGCTCCCCGAAACCAATCCTCTCCACAGAAATACAGCCCGGTTCAAGAAATTCAGGAGGTTTCACCGTTCCCCGCTGTACCAGGTGGCGGATGCGCTGAAAAGCATTGAGATGGAGACATTGGAATCCATCCATCCGTTTACATTAGCACCCTGGGAGACACGCATGCAGACCGATCTTGAAGCAATGGCGGACTGACACACTGCACCGGGCGGAACAATGCAAACCGCGGTCAGCAGCTCAGTGCGGAACGGGCTCGTAGGATTTGGGGTGGCGATCGAGAAGCAGCCCCCGCGATATCGAAAACTGAAACTGAAAAGCCTCTTCCGTGACACTGGGCGCCAGAGCAGAACAGAGTCCGTACTCCGGAGAGCTGGCAGCAATAGCATATGCTTTAGACATGCCACCGGGAATAAAATAGGATCGAATCACACTGCTTACGAGCAACAAAGCGGCGGCTCTCACGCTGCGGAATCCGGGACAACAATCTGGCCAAGGACACATCTGTCAGATATACAAGCTGATCAAGAGACTACGGAGACGCGGGAACGGCATCAACATTCGTTGGGTCCCAAGCAGCAAAGATAATCGACAGATACGCCTGGCGAAAGAGCAGGCCAGGTCCGCGACCCAGGAAGACTCTACCCCTCAAGAATTAGTGTCCAGGATGAAGTCGACAACACTGAATATCGCTCGGTCCCAAGCAGTTGCCAGCAAGGAATTGCCAGAGAACGTGGGGAGACATTCCAAACGAGTAGATGCAGCACTCCCAGGGAAACACACTCGACAGCTGTATGATCGGTTATCATGGAAAGAAGTGAGCGTGCTGGCCCGACTCCGGACCGGCATGGCCAGACTCAGTGGCTATCTCTATCGGATCAAAGTCGCAGAGACGGATCAGTGTCGATGTGGACAAGCAACAGAAACGATGGAACACTTCCTCTTTCGATGTTGGAAGTGGACCACCTACCGGACGGAAATGCTGCAATGTACTCATACTCACCGAAGCAACATATCCTTTTTCCTGGGCAGTAAATCGCCCTCGGATGACCAGAGTTGGACACCGAACCTAGAAGCCGTGCGAGCCTCAATACGGTTCGCAACCGCTACGGGGCGACTCGACGCCGCCTAATCATGTCGCCCAACAATAATAACACGCTTCCGCTAACTAACGGACACCAACCACCTTGTGCCAAAAATGGTGGACGCGCTTCAACTGCCGAGGATAGGATGTCGAACACTTGAAGTCAGTCTACTAACAAAAATACTAACCCACAGGGACCCCTACGAAACTGACAGCTGAGAGGACATATACTGCAAGGTTCTATGTATGGGCTCGAAGGAGATACGGCATATGCACATCAGGACCTGTATTGATAGATCAGTGATAGTTGCCCTTTCGGCTTAGCCGCCGGGTGTTAATGAATTGTTTGTGTGTGTGTGTGTACAGTACAGCACTGTAGGTCGATTCTGTCGGGCTGTTCCATCCAGGCAATTTCCTTCCTCCTCCATGGACAGGCATGTGCTATGCCATATGTCCTTTGCACAGCACACACGACGGTACCGCCTTTGGGTAGGTCGCTTTCGCCGTGTATTCTTTGGTGCTATGCTTCCCTGCGTAGTATCCGTATCACTCTTCGGCGCCGCATTGAGGAGGTCCAATGTGGCCGTATTCGTAGCATGTATAGCACTGCTTGTGTCGCCACTCGCCACGACTTGTCGTGACTCGCGTTCAACACCAGTCCTTCCGGATAACCCGGGTCGCGTAGTACTTCGTCGGAAAACTCTACGAGGGATGAGGCTTGTTTCCTTCTTCATTCCCTGATCAGCCACCCTACGTATTTTACTTCCCTTCCTCATGAAGCGCTGCATTCTAGGATTCAATCTTCTCGATGGCTCCTGGTTGGTTGCTAGTGACGACGGATTGTTTGCTCGCGCGTATGCTATGTCAAAGCACTCCGTATGTGGGCGTGATCACCCTTGCGGATATCCCGAGAAATTTGACCCATTCTTCGGTGGCCTTCAGTATGTCTGCCTCTGTCATGATTGCGATATGTAGTACTACGTCCCATACATCCGTCGAGTCCAGTGGGAACAGAAAATGGCCCCAGCACATCAGGTAACTCGCAGAGCAGTATAGCCCCCAGCCCCGCGGATAGCTGGACAGGAGTGGCAGACGGCGCATAAGAGAAGACGAACTATAAGAGAAGACGCACTATCGCATGTCGAGCTCTCGCGGAAAGCTCCACGCATAGTAAAAGAGGGAAGGTGGCGACGCAGCCAGATACAGTAAATCAACTCCAGGGGAAAACATGCAGCCGATCTCAAACCTCCTCGGAACCACGCCTCCCAGTCGACAATGAACAGGCAAACCACATTGTCAGTACTACAGCACAATCCCATGAAAGTCATGAGACAAGGTGATGACGACCCTGTTAAGAGACAAGAAGATGGAGAAACTCGTTTATGCGCCGTCCCATCCCACACCATCCCGAACTGGCGTACCACGATCACGAGAAGACGCGGATCTGCTTCTTCGTGAACAGGAGAATCGAAAGCAGCCGCTGGAACAGCTAGTCAGCTACACACCGCACTCCAACCTAAGCTTCTACATCTACAGGGGGAGAAGAGATCGTTATTCGCAACATATACAATCCTGTCCCTACCATAGGAACAGTGCTCTCCCAGCGCTCCAGGCAGCGATGGAGCGGTGGCGACAGGCGGAGCAAATGGTCGTGGGAGACTTCAATCTGCGTCATCCACACTGGGGAGGCTTGATGGCGCAAAGAGTAGACCTGGAGGCAGAAGAAACACTCTGGATAATTGAGGAATACGATCTAGCCTTCCTCTACGAAGCAGGAACGGGCACTTTCAGACCCCGAGGCTCAGAATCGACGAGCGACCTCTCCCTAGCCACGCACAAACTCCAAGACAGTTTTACCCCCTGCCTCTCATGGGACGACTTGGACCATGACTAGAGCCACGTCCCCCATTGTTTCCGTCACGTTTAATCTCGCTGATGGTCCTACAGGCAAAGTATGAGGAGATTGATCCGCGCACGCTCTTGTCCGGAAATCGTCGAAGACTCGTCGATTCCCGAGAGGCATGCCTCGAAGGGTCGGGAGAGCTGAACTCAGCAAAGATCAACTGATCGAGCTGGGTGAGCGTGTTGAAAACAAAATGCTCCATATCCTGATGGCAAGTCGTGTTGAAACGTGTCGGTATGGGAATCAAGGACCTCCCCCTCCGGACTCCTCCTTGATAACGCTAAAACGTTGGTTCTGGTACGGAACACTGAAGGTTTCTAGCAGACTGGGAAATTTTTCTCATGCATGACGACATGGTCAGGTAGATCAGTTGAAAATCGTACTCTCAATCAATGGACTATTGTGGTTGCATGTACATATAGCTCAATTCCTGTTCACGCTGTCAGAACTTGAGAACAAGACTGTCACAAGGATAGTACAGTACGTCGTACATCATTCAGCAAGATACCGTGACTCGAAATGCTCAGTTCCATCGGGATTCAAAATTCAGGCATCGGAACACCCATCCGTGCCGTATGAGAAAATTCGGGGGTTACCATCCGGATCATCGGAAGCGTGTTCCGCAACCGTCCCGGTCGTGGGGAAAGGCTAATCGCAATGATACGCAAGTACCTGCGAGTTGATTTGCGGAGCTGCTTGATTAGGGATGGACCTTTCAGGTTGTTTGGCACCTCCCTTGAACATACAATACAGGACGTCTAAAACTTTGCCTGCCCATGTGATATGACCGCGCCGGCATGCTACCGGTAGGAGCCGGGCGGCAAAAAGGTCCTTTAGTTTTAAGGTCACTCTGCTCCCCTATGCTCCGGTCACAACCTAATATTCTCATCATTGTGTTGCTCCTGTCCTTTTTCCGATATAGGTCTCAAAAAATGTCAGAGAAAAAGCAAGAGCGGTCTTTGTCAATTGTCCCTTCGCACATCGGCCAGATTACTGAAAGCCAGCATGATGCTATCTTCGGAGAAATTACGAGAGAGGGCCCGAACTATCGAAGTGTATGCATAACTAATCTTGCAAACCCCTTCTGTGTTCCAGTGACCTAACATCTCAGTAGGTTGGATGGCTTGGAACATGCGCGTTGATGTTGAAGACCCAAATTGGCCTCGGCGTCCTCTCGATTCCTAGCGCTTTCGATGCCCTAGGTGTAGTCCCAGGTGTTATATGCTTATGTGCCATTGCTGGCATCACGTCATGGTCCAACTACATTATAGGTGTCTTTAAGATTCACCATCGTGATGTCTATGGTATTGACGATGTTGGCGGACTGTTACTTGGCCGTCCAGGGAGAATCTTTTTTGGAGGCGCTTTTATTTTATGTGAGTTAGATTTCAGGACCAACGGATCGTGTATCATTCGCTGACTACACTAGGGTGGACCTTCGTTGCCGGCTCGGGGATGCTAAGTATGTCTATCGGTTTAAATGCCGTGTCTGATCATGCTGTTTGCACCGCAGTCTATGTTGCCATTTCCGCAATTGTAGCATGCGCCCTTGGTAGCATCCAGACTTTAGGGCGCATTTCAAGTCTCGCCTGGGTCGGACTTGGCGGCATTATCACGGCTAGTAAGTTGGTCCTTGCTATTTCTCTAGCTCTGGGCTCACTCCTATCATAGTTATGATAGTTACTATCGCCGTCGGCATTCAAGATCATCCAGCCGCAGTGCCGGACAACGCCGTTTGGGTCCCCGATTACAAGATTGTGGGCAGCCCATCCTTCATCGACGCCATCGTTGCCGTATCTACCCTAGTGTTTGCGTACGCCGGTACACCGGCGTTCTTCTCCATTGTAGCAGAGATGAGGGAGCCCCAATATTACAATCGAGCGCTATCACTTTGCCAAACTATTATGACCTGTTTTTACATTGCCATTGGCGTTGTCATCTACTATTACTGCGGCTCCTACGTTTCTTCTCCTGCACTCGGCTCCGCCGGACCGGTTGTGAAGAAAGTCAGCTATGGATTTGCGCTCCCAGGGTTGTTGGTCAGCACATTGCTTTTCATTCACGTGAGATTTCCCTTTGGAAAAAGACAGCACCAGTTGCACTGACAGCTGTTCAGATCACAGCCAAGTACATTCTAGTCCACATCCTGAAAGGCTCTCGGCATTTGGCATCCAACACTGTTACGCACTGGGTACTCTGGCTTAGCTGCACCATAGGCGTCGCATTGGTTGCTTATGTCATTGCTAGTGCTATCCCTGTTTTCAGTGATCTTGTGGCGCTTGTTGGTGCTTTACTGGGTACTCCTATGTGCTTCCAGCCAATGGGAGGCATGTGGTTGTATGATAATTGGAAACATGGCAATGTTGGGCGATCACGCAGGTGGACCGCCATGGTTTGCTGGTGCATCTTCATCATATTGACTGGGACCTTCTTGATGATTGCAGGGACGTACGGGTCTGTTGTGAACATCATTGACAGCTACAGAGAGTCTGGGGGTACAGCAGCCTGGTCATGTGTCGACAATTCCGCCTCATGATATCATTCCTGAGATGCCTAAAACTGATGTCTTGATTGATTATTAATGCACACCAATTCTAAAGAAAGTCGTGCACATCCGGAATTCCAGGAGCATTGCTAACTGTACTGTAAGTTGCCTCAAGCAACGTGCGCTTCACTTGTTGTTCCTCAACTCTGTGAGGTCTTGAATATCATAGAAGTTCTAATCGCAAAATTAACTATTGGCAGAAGCAGGCAAGGACTGGGCCTGGTCTCTTGTCTTATCCCGCTCACCAATCCTCGTCCCCAGACCAAAGCCCCAAATAATTCGCATACTAGCAAAGCCATACCAGGAAAGAACCAAACATATCCATCTGCCTCTATGGGTAAGTCTTTCCGCGAGCTGCCTCGGACCAGATGGGATTTTCTAGGGAACTAGATTTCTATATGTCTTTTGGTGTTGTCAAAGTTGGCCAAGGATTATATAGTCAATGTACACTCCCTCCTCGAAATTAGGCTGGAGGAACAGCCAGTAGTTGCCTCCCGCCCGAGAGGGGTTCAACACGGCGCCATAATCAGTGGCGTCTTTTGCCACGGTGTAGAGAGACGGCCAGAAGTGTTGGCCTTGCCATAAGTATATCTACGTGAGCTCGGCAAGTGTCTTGCTTGGCCCGGAAGATGAGCGTATATGATGCCAGTAATGTTGCGATGGTTGATCCGGCTGTTCACTAGGCAACCTCGAGCGTTATGAATTACCACAATCGTGTTTTGACAGTTGTTGGCCACGTTTGTTATAAGGTATCGCTATAGCTGTCGGAGAGTCCCGGACGACTTACAGCCTCTGAGGCATATGCGTTCACGAATACCAGGCAGGCATCGGTGGTGTACTCAACAGTTGGGTTCACTGAGGTGAAGTTCAACAGCAACGCAGCGCCATCCTTGTAACCCTGGCGCTGGATGGCGTCCATTGGGGCCGATGTAAGCTGGGCTGTTGCCTCCAGAGTCCTCTCCAGTGTACATGGTACCGTTTTGGTGGGCTCGGCTTGTGGTGCTGAAATTGAGCGCCGAGCTCAGCGTGATCGAGTTGGGCCCGTAGGCGACGTATCCGAGCACGGAGAGCACACGCGGTGACTTTTTGAGGCAAACTTTATCGATTCTGGGAAGGCACGCCGGAAATCAAGGACCAAATGTCGACCGTACCTTCATCGCTCATCAGTAATGTCTATCGAGGAAAGGCCGGGAACATCAGCATCCTGTTTGAGTGGCACTCGGCAAATGCTGGTCACTTATTGATGGTCTAGTAGTATGTAGACGGCCAAATACCGCGAGGAAACCGCTTACGGCAAAGCCAACTCTAGCTTGGTGGAGAACCTAGGAACATCCTGAACTGGGGCTTGGTTTTATTTGGCTTACGTAGGCTACTTCGGCATGAACTCGAACTCGGCTCCGTCAAGACCTGCCATTGGACTTGGTTGTCAAGGACGGTAGTGGATGCCTAAACTGAACCTATTCATGTTTTGTGAGTGCATTTCCTTTATGGTGGACGACGGGTGTCCGGCAGGACGAATATGAGTTCTATATTACTATTGTTGCATGGTTGAAAGGCAGAGATTTTAGTAGGTAACGTTATCTGTTGATACCATACCAGTGTGGAGAGGAACTTGAGACGTAATTTCACAGTCTAGGGTCATGTTATCCACACGGAGATTTATATCCTCCGTCCCCACAAACTACATTGCTCTTGCGCCGCTAGTGGCATTTTCAGTTAGCAAAGAACCTGGAAATCCCCACGGGGTTCAAGGAAATAGTCAAAATCCTTTCGATCTCCTGTTACCTCCATGTGCTACGTGGAGTTACATCTGTGAGGCTACGTACGCCCGCCACATTGGGACCTTCTCGGGGTTTCTGCTGTATGGTTGGGAACCGCATGGCAAAAATGACAGCGTTAGCCGAAGTTCGAACGAAAATGAAGAAGCCCTAGAAAGTGTTGGAATAACTGATAAGGTATATATAACAGCGAGATGATGGCCATTCCTTCGATGCTGTTCTTCTCACTTTTCTGGCTACTTCTTCCCGCCTACAGGCTTTCAATGTTACTATTTTCCGAACCTACCTTCCTTATCAGCAAACATGGCGGACCAAGAGGATGGGGGAAGCAACAAGGTTAATGAGATTGAGGCTCCTGCATCTTTCAAGGCATATATGCTGTGCAGCTTCGCCTGCTTTGGCGGCATCCTCTTCGGATACGACTCGGGATACATCAACGGTGTCTTATGAATGGACTATGTTAAGGAGCATTTCGGCCGCGCAGTTCCAGAAAGTGTCGACATCTCAGGATATGCGCTATCCAGTTGGCAGAAATCCTTGGTTACCTCCATTCTCTCCGCTGGTACCTTCCTAGGTGCCCTTCTCGGCGGAGAGGTTGCTGAGCGTATTGGCCGCCGCCTGACTATCATGTTATCCTGCTTTCTATTTGCCTGCGGTGTTGCAGGCCAGGTTGTCGCCGTCAATATCACTGGCTTGGTCATCGGCCGCTTAATCGCCGGCCTTGGTGTCGGAGGTATCTCGGCTGTGGTTGTGCTGTATGTCTCGGAGATCAGCCCTAAACGCATTCGTGGCACGTTGGTCTCGCTTTACCAGTTTGCGATCACAATCGGCCTCTTGGCAGCCTCGGGCGCAACGCAGGGCACCGCTTCCATCGATAACGCGAGCTCATACCGTAATCCTATTGGTATTCAACTTATTTGGGCTGCAGTGCTCGCATTCGGCCTCTTTTTGCTACCAGAGTCACCTCGTTACCATGTCAAGCGTGGGCAGATGGACTAGGCAGCCCAAGCTTTGTCCTCCGCGCGTGGACAACCAGTTGACTCCCGTCTATTGCAGGCGGAGCTGGCGGAAATCAAGGCTAATTACGAGTACGAATCGCAACTCACGCAAACCTCATGGTTGGATTGTTTCAAGGGCGGCCTTCGAAGTACCAGCGGCAACCTTCGTCGCACCTTAGTGGGGGTCTTCTTGCAGATGTTCCAGCAGTGGACGGGTGTCAACTTCATCTGTTCGTCTACTTTTCTCTATTCCGCGACTGTCGTCCTACTGACCCATTTGAAATCACGCATTAGTTTACTACGGCACGACATCCTTCCAGTCAGTCGGCATGAAAAATTCATTTCTCATGTCCACAATTATGAATGTTGTCAACGTCTGCTCTACACCGGTCTACTTCTGGACCAATGAACGCTTCAGCCGCCGCACCCTTCTGCTGTGGGGCGCCGTACTGATGTGCGTCTGCGAGTTTATCGTGGCCATTGTCGGCACCGCCAACGAAGGCTCCAAGGCCGCAAACGTGTGCCTTACCGTGTTTACTTGTGTTTATATATTTGGGTTTGCGTCTACCTGGGGCCCGGCCTGCTGGGTGCTTGTCGGCGAGATTTTTCCGCTACCTATCCGCGCTAAAGGGGTTGCATTGTCTACCGCTTCAAACTGGCTGTGGAACTGCGTATGTTCTCTTGTTTCTATTATGTCGTCTCTTCCGAATATTTTCGTTTTGCACTGACGATGGAGAAGATTATTGCTGTTGTGACACCTTATCTAGTTGACGCGGACAAGGCAAAATTACAAGTCAAAGTCTTCTTTGCCTGGGGCGGTTGCTAGATCTTCTGTTTCCTGTTTGCATACGTCTTTGTGCCGGAGACAGAAGGGTTGTCTCTCGAGCAGATTGATCTCATGCTTGAAGAGACTATCCCCCGCGCGTCAGGCAAGTGGAAGCCCCATGATACGTTTGCGCACCAATTTGGCCGCACCAAGGAAGCTGTGCCCACTACTGAAGAGAAGGAGAGCGCTTCTTAGTTTTTCCAAGGGACGATGCTACAGTCGTAATAAAGGCTCAAGGAGAGGGTAATATGGCAGAAAAACCAACGGAGGGATGGGACGCGTGGAGGAGTATCAAATACGTATCAAAGAATCCATTTCAAGCTTGAAATAATTACACATAACAGGATCAAAGAACCGATATATTAAATACAGCTCTAGCGTAGTGCCGCTTGAGAGGCGTGAGAACACGCAACTGTTCATCTTTCTGACTATGCCCGTAGTCAGGCCTGCCACCTTCGAATAATGGACTTAGGCCACCAGCAAGACCGCATGAGGACTCTTGCAGAGACACGCAATTTGGACATTAGTTCTCGATATCTAGAGTAGACCTGTATACGGCCCGTTAACGGCAAACCTTTCCCAAGCCGCGAACCGGACCTGATAAGCAAAAAGTCATCCGGAGTTATCGGATAAAACCGGATAAGCTGAAGCTTCGACTGCGTGTAAAACGGCAAATCTGATGGCTTATACGAATGAAAGTCGGGAAACATACCGCGTTCCTATTGGGCGATTAACCGCTAATAGCTAAACGTGAAAGAGGAGAAGGAGAATTCTAATAATACGGCCTTATCCGTCTTCTTATAGATGCAACAGCAGAAAGACCTCGCCAAAACGCGGTTCGGGTTGGGTTTTCGACTTCTGAGCCTGTTGAGTGTCACAGTGGCTGTGTTGGGCATCAGGATGGTTGAGCCTTGCGGCAGGGATTGGGCATGGATATATATATATATATAAGGCATCCGGCCATGTTAAAGATAACTCCTTAAGCTAACCAACTGGAACCAGTCTATTCTCACTTCAACGGTGCACAAAACCCGCGACGGGTTACCCGTGGGCGGTTCCTACAAACTCAAAATGTTGAATATCACGGTGGCTGGACCTTGCAGCAGGGATTGGAAATGACATATATATAGCATCCCACCCTGTAAAGATAGATACAGCTCTTAATAGGACAACTAACAATAATCCATCTTTTCTCATTCAACACCGTAAGGTCAGTGAGCACGACCTGAGCACTAGACCCGATTCGGTAAGCCACCAACACAAACAAATAAAGTATATTGGCCACATATATGCTTGACTTTCTCGTGGCTTGCTCAATCGGGTTCAGCGCTCAGGTTTTATTTTCCAGCCTCCGGCGAGGTTGGAAATCTCAGTGTCTATGCCTTGGAGCCCATCGACCTGTTGGTCTTTTGCTCCTACTAATCGTACTGAACGCTTTATTGACCGCGATGAACGAGTCATCTCCTATAACGGGGTGTCGCTAAACAGTAAAAGAAGTGGTGTCAGTTTCAGCGATCCGAAAATCATTGGAGGTCCCTCCCTCCTTTAGGTCAGCGGCCCCCTCCTAAATAATAGATGCTGACGTTCGGAGGAGTTTCACAAATCGCCTCTGATGTCGCATGCTAGGTCGATAGTTTCTTGGCGCCGTCGTTACGAAGTAGTGGCCACACACGCTGACCAACGACCCTAGTCTGCAGCGTGCGTGAAATTCTGTCATCTTCGGTCACTACCATCACGACAGCTCACAGATTTCCTCGTTCAACCTATCGCCTATGCCTGTGAATATTCGGATCTGGGAAGGAAGGATGGGAACGAGACCAATGTGAAGGAGGGATGTGCAGGCACGGATTGGGACACAGGATGTGGTGTGGGAAGAAGGTCAAGTGATAGGGGATTTGTGCAGCTGATGAGAAAACCGGAACGGTAACACTGCGACCTTCGCGGATCCTTATATGTCCTCTCAATGAGACGGCCTGCGCGCTGGAAGGAATGCCGATCTGAAATTCTCTCATCCTAAGAGCTCGTCCTCTGCGACTGACGTATCCACCCTCGGTCAGGCTTTTCGACCGAGCGCTGGAATTGAGGGCTTCCAACCAATCGCGGCTAGCATGTTGCCTCCAAGACTCACATGTCAAGCCTCTCGGCTCTACACACAAGAATACGGATGAAGCTGCGGAAATTTTGCCATTGGCTGATGGGGAAGGCCAGATGGCACGTTGGAATGGGCATTAATTCCGGTGGGTCGAAAGCATGCGTTGATGGGATGACATGCAACCCAAGCCAGGTGAACTAGCAAGCCTCCTGGCTTGTCGGCTTGACGAGAGGGGGCTATTCCGGCAGACCACAGGACGTTTCCACTACCTGGAGACTAGAACCCTAGTAGATGAAGGAGCCATGGAAACAATGCTGGACTCAAGATTCAGCAAGATGTCCAACAAGACAGGACATCTTTACTTGCCAGTCAACTCATGCATGACCGCGCCGCAAACGGCCGTGAAATCACGGGCTCAGAATGCGACAGGCAGCCACAAACGAGAGAAGGCCCGACCGGGGACCGGAAGAACGAAGATAGCTCAGAAACGAACGAAAATGACGGCTGGCCAACCCTCGCGAATCCGTGGGCGACTCGGAGTTGCCGAAGAAGGGGAAAGGATGGGGGGGGCGAGAAAGAGGGGAAACGCACGGCGCCATACCGTAAGAGGGAAATGTTCGGGTAGCGCGCGCACGGCATCTCTGAGGGGGGAGGGGGGGGGGGAAAGAGAAAGTGCGTCGCCTTTCGAGGGAGAGGTGCCGGGCTTATATAGATGGCGTGAGAGGCATGAGGCGGCAGGCGAAGGGCGCAAAAGCGGCGAGAACAGGGCGCGATACCCAAAACGGACCGCACTAGACCGTAAGAGGCAGTGGCATTTCCGCATGTGACAGGCGGTGGTGGCGGGCAGAACGGCGGTTCAATGGGAGCCGTTTCTGGCGCCCCGCTTGCCGTCCGTCAGAATTATAGGCTATTTCATGACCTAGATTGGCGGTTGACCTCCATCGAACCATAAAGACCGAGGCGTCACTGACGCTAAGTGTCTCGTGTCACAGCATGGGACATGGGAACAGTATAACGCGGTCTAGAAAAGAGCTTAGAATGGTCAGGTTACATTCAAGTCACATGGAGAAGAGTGATCGTTGGCTGCGTTGCATTGCGCTTGAGCGGTGGTGATGCCAGGGATCAGGGCCGTCCAAAGGCCGCTCTACCAAGATCGACAGGCCGATGTCCCTTTTCCATTCCAGAAAAAGTCAACCCGAAGCAGCCGCGAGAGCGGACCACAATCATTCTAGCCCGAATACCAGATCCCGGATAGCTTTCAATGCGAGGCAAGGGCGTTCAGGTGTCCCCGCTACTGGACTCGACTAACACTGTCGGCAAATTCGGCCCAAGTTCCGCCTCTTGGGACAATCTACTTTGAGGTGCTGGACGGCGAAGCACTCCAGCCCCGAGCCGATCGCTGGCCAGAGATTATGCGCCTTCGGTCACATCCGGATAA